GGCCCATCAGGGTGCAGGGACCAGTAACAATGAAGCTGGGTAGAGATCTGAGGTCCAGGGCACTTAGGCCCAGAAAGGCCACCCTGACCTCTCAGCCCAATCCTCTCATCTTGGTAGGAAAATGCTGTAAGACAGATGACCCTGGAGGAAGACAGCCTGGGCTGTCTGGGCCAATTCAGGTGAGCTAGCTTAAAGGGTGAGTGGCCGGGAGGCCCCAGGCCTGCTGACGATGGCAAGGACTGCCCTGCCACTCTGAGTCCAAATGGCATCACCAGACAGGAGGGCGGGCACCTTCACCCAGCATCCTTTCAGCCCTGAGCTGCCACTCAGACCCCGTTTCCCTTCTACACCGGAGAAGGGGATGTACAAAACAAGATATGAGATGGGAGTTTTTCTTCTTAGACCCCGCTGTCACTACTGAGGATGGGCAATTTCTTCCCAGCGTGCCTGGGCAGTCCCCACAGTGCTGGTGGCTGACCCCAGTACCAGATGCCGGTGTTTAGAATATCAGTAAAGGTGGGCAGGGAGGCCTGACAGGTTCATTGGCTGCCACCCTGTCCACCCAGGTCTCTGTTCCACTCTGTTGTGATATTTCCTTAAGTCCGCATCCCTGCCCCATGGGCTGCTCATAGTTTCCCTCAGCCTTTCCGGTTTCTGGCTGCCACAAGCGGCACTGTCGTGAGCCGCGTTACCCAGGCGTGTGGCGCTCTCTTCTCCATTCCCACCTTCAGGCAAGGGGTCCGGAGGTGCCTGCTTGACATCACCTAGACTCGTGCCGCCCCTTCCTCTTGACCCACACAGAACTAGCCACTCACTACTCCCTGGAAGCCCCATGGTTTTCAGGATGGTGGCACTCACAGACTGTCATGATTACATGTGTGCCTCTACACGGTGACTAAATGTCTAGGGAGTAGAAAAGGGAGATCCCAGCAGACCTGTGGGCGACAGGGGTTCAGAACTGAGTAGGCATGAATTCCAGGGGCTGCAGCTTTTCAAAGTGGCCATATAAGGGCCAAGATGTTCTCTAGGCTACAGAGGAAGTCTGGTTTGGAATGGGAAGTGAAGGAGTAAGGTCTGGTATGGGGGTGAGGGAGAGTTTAGAGTTGGGGACGTACCAGCGTGTGCGAGCATGGTATATGCCACACGTCACCGCGTGGGTGTCGGTGTGTTTGGGGGGCGGGAGAGGGGCAACTATACCCGGGCGTATGTAAGAGGGGTCGTGTCTGTGCGCCTGTCTCTGCTGCTGCCGCTGGGCCGGGTGCCTCGTTGGTGTGCAAGGATGCCCCCACCGCACCCCCACTGCGTGGCACAGAGGAGCTGCCGGGGGTTTGCTCAGACTGCAGGACCACCCTGTAGAGGGGGCGGGTTCAGGAAAAATACCAGGTCTTTTGGTTCCCGTGAAGAAAGTGGGCGGTCACCTCTGGGTCGCCCCCTGCAGCTCATCCCCTGCATGCTTCCTTCTCTCTGGGCCGCTCTCCTGGGGAGCTTTGTGTCTGAGAGCTGACTGACCCTGAGTGCTCTTTTCTCCTCTCTCTTCCTTCCTGCAGTCGGTTCTGAATGTGATCAGTGAGCTGCAGGAGCAGATGTGTAGGCTGCAGCTGGACATCCACAGGCAGATTCAAGAGCGCCTCTTACTCAGTAGGGGCCGCCCTGAGGAGGTGGCGGCTGGTGACAGCGCAGCCGAGCCCTCGCCCTGCGGCCAGGACTGTGCCTGTTGGGAGGGGTCACCTGTAGGAACCACACTTAAGTATATCAGAGCATGCGTGTGGGGGCATTTCACTGGTGGAGGGGCTGGGCTTTCTCCTAACCACAAGCGAGTGCAGTGGCTTAACACGGCTCTATTGTTACTTCCGGGCAGAGTTTGGGACTGGTGCACTCCCCTCAGGGTCTGAGCTGAGCTCTGCGACCCTCAGAGAGCAGGGTCTGAGCGGGTGAGGCCAATCCTTGGCCAGGTGGTGGCACTGGCCTTCCTCAGGGCTGGGAATGAGGTGTGTCAGGTGCCCTGAGGGATGGGCATTCATGCAAAAGGAAGACTCAGGATTCCCCTTCCCAGGTGTTACTCAGGCGTTGATTCTCCTCCTGGGCTGGGAGATTAAATGAAGTTTTATCTCGTGTGATTTTTATTTTATTTTTTAAAGAAAAAATAGCATCGTGAGAGAATCCTTTCAAGTTTATTTTTAAGGAAGTTAATCCCTAGTGAGAAAATAGAACACCAGTTTCCTTTTTGCTATGACAGTTAGGTCATCATCTGAATTTCTAGGAAAAATTCCCCACCTAATCGCATTAGAGGGATTTCATGACCTCTGGACCCTATGGGGTATACCTGACCGGTGTTCTGGACTTGTCCCTTCATCCTGGTGGGACCGGGGCCTGCGTGACCTGACTGGACCTGGTGATGGCAGTTGCACAGAGAGGAGTCTGTGCCTCTGAGACCTACTGTCGAAGAGGACGTGGAAACCTGAAGGAAGGTCAAGGTCATAGTAGCTGTGAGCATTACAGAGGGTCCGCCTCACCTCTGTGGGAAATTATCACAACCCATACTCAACCATGGAACATGCTGAAGCTCTACCCAGAATCAGACAGTAGAGGGGGAGCTTGGGGGCAGGTGGGGGTTGAGGTGGGGAGATTTCCTCCTACATTAAATGACAAGGGGGAGAAATGAGAGCCCAGAGGTAAATGTGGATTTGAATAGGGAAGTTCTGGGAGTGCCCCATGTTGAGTGGGTCAACCCAGAAAGATGTCTAAAAGAGGCTAACGTTTGTACCAGTGTTTATAGCCGATGATGGGCACCACAGACAACCTTGAAAGAGGAGGATGTGCCAAAGGTCATCAGAGCCTGGCCGTCATCATGCTCTGTGTCTCCATGGCGGCAGCCTCTCAGGCAGGGCCGGAAACATTCTCAGAAAACCATCCTGGGTCGGCTGGAAGTCCCACCAGGCCTTAAAATCTAATGCTGCAGGTCATGGGTACAATGACCTTAGCTTCGAAGACATTTTTGAAAAGAGGCATCAATAAATGTTTACCTTGGCTGTAAGAAAATCTTAGTGGATTACCCTACAAAGTTCAAGTGTAAGCAGTGGAACTTTCAGGCAGACTATCTCAGAACACAAAGAGCTCCAGGTCAGTTAAACGATGAACTGAATTTCCCTGTTCGTTCATTGGGAAATAATACATACCTACCATGTGCCAGTGGTGAGCAAAGCACGCTCGGAGTTACCCAAACCCCTCCTGGAGTTCACACAGGAGGAGAACCAGCCATTAGCGATCAGACCAGTAAGTATCTAATTGCAAATGACGTAGGAGAGATACAGGGTGCCACACCAGAAAGGATATACTCTGCCACACCCGAATATGGTGTAGAGGTTGGGATAGCTTTGCTGAGGAGGCCTGAGGAAGGATCGGTGGGAATTCACCTGGCAGACTGCTCCAGACAAGAGGGAGCGGTGTGTGTAAAGGCCCAAGTAGACGAGGAACTAAAAAGTATCCAGTTTGGTTGGTGCATCACTGGGGGGAGAGAGTAATCCAAGAGGCAGGCAGGGCACCGGGTCAGGCCAGGCAGTGCTGGTGAGAGCATATGAGTTTTGAGGAGCAGAGGAGCGCCAGGATCAGATTTGTCCTTTAATTGTGTTGTTCCCCTGGATGCCGCGGGGGACAGGGGCTTTAAGAAGGGCAAGACGACAGACGAGCGACCCCTGGAGAGACTGCCCGGCCTGTTGACATGAACTGCTAGATCAGAGTAGTGATGGTTGAGTTGGAGAGAAAGGAGAGATCCATTTCCTTGAGATAGACTTAACAAGGCTTGGGGATAGATTGCATCTGTCGGGGAGAGGGAGATGCCAAGGATGGGCCCCAGGTTTCTGGCACAGGGAGGTAGGTGGATGGAGCTGCCATTTAGTGAGGTTGGAATGTCTAAAAGGGGGAATTAAGTGTTCCACTTGGGCCATGACAGTCGTGAGATGCCTGCCTAGAGGTGTTAGGTCGGGAGTCTGTGGGGATCTGGAGTTCAGAAGTCTGGAAGTGATCACATACACATTAATTTTTCTGATAGGAGCCAGTTGGCAGGACCAATTATCCATTAAAGGAAACTTGGTTTGGGACAAGGGTGCTCAGTGGTGTCGTCTTTGCTGAAAGAGTAGTTTAGGGAGCAAGGTCACTGTAGTTGGAAGAAACAAACCTGACTTCCAACTCACCCCGGGCAAGTTGGTCAACCATCCCTTCCTCACTCAGCAACTTTCAGTGGCTCCCTACTGCCAGAGAATGGCCTCAGAGCTCTTTGTATTTTCATCCAAAGCCTTTCTGGTAGGGCTGCACCTTACTTTCTGGCCTCACCTCCCACTCGTGCCACCTGTCCTCTGCCCTAGCCCAACAGACTGTCTCCCTTTGTGCCTCCTGCATCCACCCTCCGCCGGTCTGCCTTCTCCTTCCCGCCTTTCTTCAAGCCGACCCCCGCCCCTGGCCCAGAACACTCTGCATTTGGCATTTGTTATCTTAGTGTTTTCTGTCCTGCTGGCTGCCCCTTCTTCTCTGGAGCCTTCCAGGATCACACACCCCTCTTGGGGTTCCTTGCCCCACGCCCCGGCACAGAGAGGTGCGCCCACCTAGCCTGCTTCCTGCTACTTTGTCTGTAAGAAGCTGCTTCATTTTTGTATCTCTGTTCTTCTGGCTCCCAAGTCCTATTTATCCTGCACCTCCACATTTGTGCATGATTTGGGCACACCCCACAGAGGACATGGATGTCAGAAAGGGGCAGGCAGAACTAGTTCTAAAGAAAAAAAAACCAAAGTTTTCTCTTCATATGCCTGGAAGCCCTGGCTTCTGTTTTCGAATGGCCCACAGCTTTTCCTGAAACAGGACCATGTTTAAGGATGTGAGCTGCAGTGTTGAACATGACACGGGATCTCTTGCCCCTGGCATCCCCTGCATGAGCCTAACTGGGGTTATCCAGGGAACATCATGCTCTGTAACCATCAGAACTTTGTTTTTGTCCCTTATCCTTCTAGGAGTTACTGCAAGAGCTCAGGCACCTCAAAATCAAGGTAGAAGAGTTGGAGAATGAACGGAATCAGTATGAGTGGAAGCTGAAGGCCACTAAGGTAAAAGGCAGTTCTTATATTTATGGAGAGGTGCTGAGGCCCGGTGGGGAGGGTCTGCGTTCAAGCTCGGGATCTGAGCTGGAGAAGTGCAGATTGACCCTACTGTGTGCACACGCAATAGTGCACAGATTGTGCAAGTAGATAGTTTTGATCTGGGAAGGCTCTTCTCCTAGGGAAAGCCCCCTGAGATCATGCACTGCTGGAATAGCTGAGCTCCTTCGTCTTGCTGTGTCCTGTGGCACCCCTAGGCTGACATGGGACCAGTAAGGGGCTGTGAGCAAGTGAGAAGTCTTTTTTTTTTTTTTTTTTTAACGTTTATTTATTTTTGAGACAGAGAGAGACAGAGCATGAATGGGGGAGGGTCAGAGAGAGAAAGAGACACAGAACCCGAAACAGGCTCCAGGCTCTGAGCAGTCAGCACAGAGCCCGACGCGGGGCTTGAACTCATGGACCACGAGATCACGACCTGAGCCAAAGTCAGATGCTTAACCGACTGAGCCACCCAGGCGCCCCAAGTGAGAAGTCTTAAGGCAGATGAACGTCGATGTTACCTCGGCTGCATCACTTTAAATTTAGCGGTCCCTTTTAATAACTAGTTGGTTTAAATAGGCATGCTGTATTTTAGCACTGAATGCACTCCACTACTTTGTTGTTTTAACTAAACCATGTTTCTATGGAACTGGGGAGCTCAGCAGCCTGGGCTGGGGAGGGAATAGCCCTGGAGGAGCATTCTTGCCTGCGGGAGCCTGGTCCAGGCAGCCCCCTGAAAGCACACCTGCTATTTCACTAAGGCCTCTGTAGCGCCACCCAGAGGTGTTAACTAGGTTTTCATTTTTATTTCTTACTAGGGTTTTAAAAAGTACTTAAGAGTTTTCCTAATTTCTGGTTATACTTTTATTTTTTTCTGTAAGTTAACTTTTAATGATTATGAAAACAATACTCATCACAGAGAATCTTTAAACCATAAAAAATGGATAAAAGTCACCCTTATACCACCTAGGAGCTACCACTATTAATATTTCCTTCTAGGAATTTCTCTTTGGGGGGAATCTCGCTCGCTCTTTCTCCAATTTCTAGTGTTGATAATTTATATGCAATTTATGTCATGCTCTTAAAACTCTGAACATGATATTGATATCTGTATAATTGCTTGTATAAAATGATTTTCTTAACCGTTTACCAATGAGGAAGCCGAGGCACAGAGCAGTTCAGTAACTTTCCCGAGATCTTTCCAAGTCAGCACCAACCTAGGCAATCCCAGCACATTTGTCTCCAGCCCTGTTGTTATCTAAGTGCACCCTTGTGTGTTCTGTGCTGTACCTGTTCCAGCAGCAGTGATTTTCTCAAATAGCTCAGAGCCTTCTGTCACAGAATTCCACTCAGGCGAGTCCCGTCTTGGGGAAGCCTTTGAAGTTGTACACCCATGTATTATAAAACCAAACAACTCTTTTTAGGTCACCTGAGCTCTTTGCCTTGGCATAGAGACCTTTGAGATACTACAGGTTACTCAGTAACTATTGGGTAAGGGGCACCTCCTATGTGCCAGAATGCATCAAGCTCTTTGCCCACATTTTCTCATTTGATCCGTAAAAATAACCTAGTGAGGTCTGTTGATTTATTATCCCCATTTCAGTGGCTAGAAAACCAAAGCCCAAGGTGGCCAAGGTGAGGTCCAGACCTGGATCTGTGTCATTCCAAAATCCATGCTCTCTTTCTTATAAAATCCTGATTCCCTACAAGTAAAAGCCTGTACTATTCTTGAAAGTTCTTTAGTCTTCTGCATAAAGCTTGTCAGCCCCTGAAGGCAACTCATCTTCCAGGGCAGCAATCAGGGGTGATCCCTGGATTTAACGAAGCTGAGTACTTACAGGGAGCTGGAGCAGCCCTCTGCCTGGCACCAGCCCACACACCTTTGCCTCAGACCTCTGGCCACACAGCTCCAGCCTCTGTGGCCATGGCAGTGGCATCCTTTGCCCTTGTGGTCAGGTAGAGGGCTTGTAGCCTGTTGTAGACTTCCCAGCTATGGGCACAGGTACTATGCTAAGCACAGCAGAGCACCTGTCATTTCTGGCCTATTCTCTGGAAATTGACACCTGGCAGCTGGGACTCAGCCACTTAGTTTATTTATTTTTTTAATTTTTTAGAATTATTTTTATGTTTTATTTTTTGAGAGAGAGAAAGAGACAGTACATGATCAGCAGACAGGTAGAGAGAGAGGGAGACACAGAATCCGAAGCAGGCTCCAGACTCTGAGCTGTCAGCACAGAGCTCCACACGGGGCTCAAACTCACGAACCCATGAGATTATGACCTGAGCCGAAGTTGGCGCTCAACAGACTGAGCCACCCAGGCGCCCCTAGTCTACAGGGTTTTAAATAGATGATCTCACCCAGAGGCAGGCTTCAGAGACAAGGGACCTCATTGTGCTGGGCTCTGCCTCACCCATATCACTGAGATCCACTGTGGGTCCCGGAGACCAGCATCAGGCATGCAGATTCCTAACAGAGACCAGCTCTCACTTGGTCTGCAAAGAAAGGGAAAAATGGTCGTGGAAGGTCCAAGAAAGGTTAGGAGAAGATCTTCTAAGAATAGTACGGTCCTTGTAGAAATAAGAGGCATTTGGACCGAATGGCTCAAGGCTAAGGTATTCAGAAGCCACCGAGGCTGTTAGTTGTAGGCCCGTAGGCACCGAGGCCCTGAGTGAGCTAGGGGACAGTGCTGCGTGGCTGTAGGTCTCAGCTAGCAGCTTGCCACCGCTGGGCTTGCTCTCTGGCCTCTCTGGGTAGATGCCACAGAGCAGAGGGGCAGGGCTCCATAGGGCACTTCAGAAGAAGGAGAGCCTACCCCTTGCTGCCTCTTTTTTTCTTTACATGGCCCTCTCTTTTCCCATTTGAGGGATGTTAGGGAAGCTTCTTTTAGAACCCCTAAGGTGGGCTCAGGGAGCTCTCGGCCCATAATAGTAGCCTTCATCTGTGCTGTTGATTCAGAAGCTGGCTCCCGAGCAGGTGGGGTTTGCGTCCTGGTCACTAAGTGGCCCTATGACTTGGGCATCGCATCCTGCACTCTTCCTGGTGTCTCCCCGGTAGCGACACGCAGTGATGTTGCTTCCTCCCATGGGCTCCTGTGAGGATTGAGTGAGGTTGGACGTAAGAAATCAGTGAGCACTGGGTCAGAGGCAGAGTGGACGCTCAGTCAGTGTGCCTGAAACTGAACGCAAGGCCTGTTGGCAGAGGAGCCACCAAGAGTCTCAGTGCTCGTTTTCGGTCACTTGAAACTATTCGAAGGTTAGCTCTGGCATCCCATTCTATGACCTTGAGGAAAGAAGGGGGGATGTGATTGGGCTACCACATGGGGAGGGATGGCCAGAGTACAGGCCTTTGCTGTATGTTGGCTGGCTCCTGAGTTGGTCCTCACCCCCTTTCTTTGTCTGGTTTGATGCTCAGAGAACTACCTGGTTACCCTTAGGAAAGGAATAAGACGAGAGAAGCAAGAGTAGCAGCATTTATTGAGCCCTTACTGTGTAACAAGCATTAGGCTAAGTTGTCCGTGACCATTATCTTATTTAATCCTCCCCACAGCCCTTTGAGGTCAATGCTGTTTTCCCCATTTTAGAGATGAAGCAAGACTCAGAAGTTAACTCAGAAAGGTTAACTTGCCTAAGGTCCTCCAACTAGGAAATGAGGGAATCCAAGTTTGTTTGGCTCCAAAGCCAGTGTGGCCCCTGGGATGGGACCTACACGGTTCTGATCTTCTCACGAGCGTGGGAAGGTGCGGACGGTCACACCTACTGTTACATGTGAGATTTAACCTGCGGTGCCTAGTAGAGGTGTGTGAAGCACCCAGCACAACTGCCCATGCATGTCTACGTATGAATGTATGTATCACATCTGTGGCTGTACTTACATACTTTATTTGCAAAAGTGTATCTGCTCAGCACATCTGAACGCTTGTATAGAGGTACATATGGGTGAGCGTGCATAGGTGCTCATATGGAGGCTGGGCAGAGGCCGTGGCTGTGCATGAAGAGAGTACATGAGGGAGGTACTCTTGGCTCACTCTTTGTCTACCTACCAGTAGTGATTTGATTTCCACTATGTTTCCTGTATGGGTGTGGATAAATGAAAGATGCATGCACTCGTTGCAATGATGTACATCTGTGCTGTTGCATGAATCCCCTGAGAGAAGGAAGACCACATCCGGAAAGAGAATGTGCATTAGCAGCTCTCCCATTGCACACAGCCCCAGCGCCTCGGGCCTCAGGGGCGACTGGGCCTCAGAGGGCAGGGGAGGTAAGAGCCTGGTCAGGTAGAAGGATGCAGGTGACCAGCGGGAGCTGAGGGCAGGGCCGGATTGGCCAGGGAGAATGAGTTCAGTCTGCAGAGCCCCATGTGGTGGGGACGGCGGTAAGCACCTCTAACTGCTCACCTCTGGCGCCTCTGCTCCTGACTTCCCAGAATGTTCTGGGACCCACTCGTCCCGAGCTATGAATGACTTGAGGTACTTCATCACAGTCTGGTAGTCCCTCTGAGCTGGTGGGGATCCTCTGTTGCTCTTTCAGGCTGAGGTAGCCCAGCTGCAAGAGCAGGTGGCCCTGAAGGATGCAGAAATTGAGCGCCTGCACAGCCAGCTCTCCCGGACTGCAGCCCTGCACAGCGACCACGCAGAAAAAGGTAACTGGCTTGACTGGGAGAGAGTTGCCCCTGGGCCCTCTGGGCATGTGTGTCTATGGATGATTATGTGTGTGCCTGTGTGAGTAGGCTTACTGATGTGCACATATGTCCTGTGTGTGCAAACACGTCCAAGTGAACAGATGCATGCCTGAGTGTGCGTGAAAGGGCCTAGAAAGCACAGTTCTACTGTGGAACCATTGCCATGAGCCCCTCCCCTGTCCAGAAGACTCCACCCTGAAGGCTTCTCTCACATGTAGTCTGATCATTAAGCTCTGGAGCTTTTCTTTGCACTTGACGGGAAGGACTTGTCTTTGTGTCATTCCCACAGGGGAGGCTTTATTTAGCAATCCGTTCACTCCTTGAATGGATACCTGCTTGATACTCATACAAGGCCCCGAGGATACAGAAACAAATCCACTAGTTCTCATCTTTAGATCTCAACTTAAATGTTACCTCTCAGAAAGGCCTTTTCTGGTTATCCTACCTCAACCAGATGCCCCCAGTCCTATTTTTCTCTAGCTCAGCATTCTTTTTGTTTCCCTCATAGCACTTAAAACTCATCAGGGTTGCATTTGGGGAGGTCTGTGGGTAGATTGTTGTCCTCACTGTGGGGCAAGAACTGTGTCTGTCCTATTTGAGACCATATCCACAGAACTTCACACAGCATTCAGCCATGGTAGGCTCCTAAGAAATACTGAGTAAGTGAGAGGATGGTGAATGGTCCCTCATCAGTTCCAAGTCTGCTGATTCAAAAGAGGGTGAATCCTCAAATACTCTTATTAACACATATTTAATATTTAAGGCTATCCACCTTGTATTCAAAATGATCACATACCTTCCTCTTCCCATGAGGCTGCAGAATGATGCTGGAGGAGGTCCTGTAGCCCTATGGATTGGCCTTACTACCGGGTCCCCTCTCAGCCTCAGCACTGCTTAGCTTGGGTCCCTGGCTGGGGTGGGAAGCTATGTGGCATGAAACGGTGGCTTAAGCTGGAGAAGAAAATTAGTGACCAATATGTTCATGCCTCCCCTAGTCTTTCTCAGTGTCTTCTTAAGCCTTTGAGTGTGTCACCTACCTGCCATGGCTCAAGGTGGATGCTGGGGCCCCCTAACATATCCCAGACTCTCTGTGATGCTTAATCTGGACAGAGTGCTTTCTGTGCCTTGATCCTAGGCCAGGTAGCCTTCCCCCTCCACACTATGCTTCTCTGGAGTCCAGGCCTTCTGATCCATCATCCGGTAACTCTTGGAGCCGGTCCTTTGGTCATTTGCTGCTCAGGTTGGGTCCTGCCCAAAGCACTGAGGTTTGCCACTCTTCATAGGAAGCTTACCACCCTCGTCCCACAGACAGGGCTGTGGGGTTGCTCTTCAGCTGCCAAGAGCCTAAGATAGTGAACGGGCACTCTGTATTGTCCTCTGAAAATGAATCCCTATGACTATTTACACAAGTCTACTCTTCCTATTCTTGTTGCAAATGGGATGCCTATATTTTGGTTCCCTTGTCTCCTGGACTTTTCTCATATAGACACCCCCTCTTCCTTTTGTAATAATCAGTTTAGGAATGGGGATAGGTCCTTGTTTTGAATATTCCACTATGTGCCACTCCCTAGACCTAAATATGTAGCAGACTGACCTCCAGCTCCCTTAGGCATTGGCCTTTGACCTCGTCCTTCAGACCAGTTTGGGAAGAAATCAAGAGCCCCTATTAGGTCCAGAGTGAGAGCAGGCCTTAGGTTGCCCACAACAGACTGACACAAGTGCCTGGGCCCATAGAGATATTCTGTGGGTTTCTGAAATAAGATAGTTTTCCTTAACTGTAGGATTTGTTTTAATATATTTATAGATGTGTCTAAATATTCTTTAGTCAATTCTGACTATAGCGTTTTAAATTAAGCCAAGTACCCAGCTCTTTTACGTAATCATTCTTTTCTTCATTCAGCTGTAGACTTTTTTTTTTTTCTTATTTTAAATTCTCCTTTGCTACAACCCATGGGACTGTATTATTTTTCTCTAAAACTAGCTAGCAGCCCAGGTACATGCCCACTCAAGTAATAATGTCTGTATTCTTCTGAGATGTTGGTTTTGAAAGGTTTTTGGGTTCTTTTGTGTCAATTTCGAGTAAATGGAATTTGTATTTTCCCCACTAATTTCTACAAAGAGAACATGAGAGATTAGGTTTGCGCATTCATTTAGTAATCCAACAAATTTTAATGAGAATGACTACCCCAGACACCGTCATGGGCTCTTAAAGAAGTAAAGGAGCCCACATGCAATTTATTCACAAGGGAAGTCTTAGTAGCTTAGCACGTGGGGATGGCTGTCTGTGTGGAAATAATTCTCCCTACACCTAAATTCTTTCAGACCAAGAAATTCAACGTCTGAAAATGGGGATGGAAACTTTGCTTGTTGCCAATGAAGATAAGGTAAGATGGTCCATCAAGGCAGCCCTATTCTTCCTCTGCTAACAGGCTGTTTCGTCCCTACTGGTCTCTGATATTCTGGGCAGGGTCATGCCCATCAGGCCAGTGACCCAGGGACGTGTCAGGAGAATGGCTTCTGCCTTTTGGAGACTGAGCCTCTTTTGGCTTTGATGCCTGGGGACTTTGCCTAAGCGAAATCTCCCAAATGCAGAATAAAATCATGCCTGTTCGTGCTGGTGCAGGGGGGAAAAAAATACCCCTGTGGTTACTGCCAAATGCCATAACTGCTGCTTAGACTCTTGGCAAAACTTGAGAGCAGTCCACCAATCTCCTATGCACACAATCTGGTGACAGACCCGTCACAGAGACACTAGGCAGCACGTGATGTGTTTACCCCACCGCCTTCCATTCTTCACATCTGATTGCCTGTGTAATCCTAGAGTAGCCACCTCTGTAATTATAGAGCACTTACCTGGGATGGCCATCACCTCTTAGGATCACAACCCTGCATTTTACAGATAAAGAAACTGACCTTCAAAGTGCTTGAGTAGTTTTGTCCAAGGTTCGTTAACAGTAGGTAGTGGAGCCAGGGTTCCCACCCAGGTCTGTCTAATGCCCAAATCTGCGTGGCCTCCCAAGTCCCCAGGCCTTTGCTGAAAGAACTGATCTCCTCTGGTAATTTCACCTGTTGTGCAAGGAATCTTGGGCTCCTAAGGAACAGGTTGAGGGTATTGGGGATAAATAGGATGGCTTTATTTTAATCTTTCTTTGTATGTAGCTCCAGAGGACAGCATTTGATCCAGGAGACAGATTCCAAAAGCTACCTCAGGAGGGTAGGGAGATAGTGCGTTTCCTGCCTCTGAAATGTTTAAGCCCCTCGAAGGCTGTGTCTGGAAGGGATTGTTTTACGGCTAGGGATTGGACTCCTAGCCTTTGGGTAGAGGCAAGAATGTTTGCAGCTGCCTAGGGGGCAGACCACTGGGAACCCAGTCTCTGTGGGAAGGAGGCTGGACACTGAACTTCCCGTCGAAGTGTCCCTTAGTTTCCACATAGCATCTCTTCTCAGTGTGCCCAGAATGTAGTCTGGGCCCCCAAATGAAATCCTCCATGGGGCCAGTGGTGGTGTTTACATATAGTCTGCTCTCCCACTGTGACAGGACCGTCGGATAGAGGAGCTCACAGGGCTGTTAAACCAGTATCGGAGGGTGAAGGAGATCGTGATGGCAACTCAAGGTGAGGGAAAGGAGGATTCTGCTGTTTTCTCCCAAAGGTATTCCATCTATTGTGTTAAATCCAGGGGCATTTCGCTAGAAGGTTCTTAACCTTCATTTGGAGAAGATCCTCTGCTAGATAATGGAGCTGGTTAGACTGTCCTGGACAGTGGGAAACTGGCAGCTATTGGTTTCTAGAAACTATGTCTAATGATAGCCCAGAGATCCTGTGGACTAAGCATATTATCAAGAAAATAGAGCCTTTAACGTGAGCCCTTAGGAATCCCCATCCTTGGGGATCTCCTGTGTGTTTTTCCAGGATACCTTTTAGAGGCAGTGAATGCAGTCAACCTGGACCAAAAACCAGTTCGATACCCTCATTGGGGATTAGAGCTTGTCCACCTCCTGACAGCTCCCCCAGCAGATTTCCAGGATACTTTGGGGGCCTTCTTTGAGTCTCTGGGTACCTGGGTTCCTGTAGGAAGTCACAGGGCATGGAGGACTATCTGTGTTTCATATTTGCTGCGCAGGCTGAACGTACCATGCGGGCAGCGTTAGTGTTCGTGTGAGCACAGTGGGGCCTGGGCCAGGCTGCCCGCCTTACCATTCATGTCATTGACCCGGGCTCCTGTCACAGATCCCTGGAAAGCAGCTGCTTCGCAGGAGAGGGCCACCTTGAGGGTGTTCAGGGACCTCATTCTGGTTGAGCTTCCGCTGGCCCTGCACATGTATCACAGCCCTATTTTCCCTCCTCCTTTGGTATTAGGGGTCGAGTCAGAGCATCATGACCCATGGCCAAGGAATGAGAAGGTTAGGGAGGAATAGTAAGGGCTGCCTTCTCTCTGTTCCTCCCATGAGCTTTGACCTTGAGATGACCCTCATGACAGCCCTTTCTCAGATTCCCTGAAGAATCTTACGAATTACACCTGTAATGTCCCTTTATATATGTCTTAGTTTTTCTTGATGAAGAAGCACTGTTAGAAATCTGTGGTATAATCACAGGTTTCAGATGAATCCCACAGGAATGACCCTTCCTTCTGCGTTAATGCTTCTAGGGCCTGCAGACAGAACTCTCTCAATCAATGAAGAAGAACTCGAGGGAAGTTTCCGAAAGTGGAACAGTACAAACAAAGGCCCTGACGAATTACTTAAGCCAGAGGTGCTGTGTTTCCATCTGTGATGTGGGGTTTCAGCAGGCCCTAGAAGCTTGTGCTGAGCTTGGGGGAGGATCAAATCAGGTACCTGTCAGGTAGAAATCTTGGCAGGTGAGAAATTAAATGGATGGAGTGGCCCCCGAGGCCTGGGGGAAAGCATCGAGGGTGGAGAGGGGCCCAGGCACAGGCCTGTGTTCTAAAAGCTCCCCCAGCAGATTTCTGGGGCACACTGGGAGCCTTCTTTGAGTCTCCTGTAGGAGGTCACAGGGCAGGGAGGGCTGTCTGTTGTATTTGCAGCACAGGCTGAATGCAACATGCAGACAGCGTTAGTATTTGTATGAGCACTCAAGGGGTGGCATAGTGGATACTGGACTTTTCAAGGGTAGGACTTTTCTTTTCAATCCAGTTCCTTGTTTCTTTTGGTCCTTCTTCTCTGGGATGTAAGCAGAGACCATAGGTGGTTTCATTTTATTTCTCCCTGTTTCTCCAGTGTCCGTAATAATGTCTGACGCCCAGGAGAATGCAAATATTTGTTGAGTGAAAGTGTCTTGCTCGTTGAGGGGAATAAACACACCTATTGCTGTGATACGCTTCTATTCCGCAGCCCTCCCCTCCAGCCTCTGTAACCAGCATACAGATTTCTTTCCCTTTTGCTTGTTTAAAGTCTGGTCCTCTTATACAAACCTCTCTGCATTTAGACGAGATACAAATAAGCAAAGAAACTCATAGATCCAGATCTCGAGTGGAGAAGGGGCTTTGGCCCAGGATGTAAAAGTTTCATGAAACTCTAGAATGGCCACACCGAATAGGGTCTCAGAGGTCTAGCTCAACCCTTTTAATTAAGGGAGGAGCAAAGTGTCATCGAGTGACCCAGTTATTAAGTCAGACAAACATCCCAACATGAGCTTATAATGAGCTTATTCCAGATTGCTGACAGTAATAAAATAGCAGTGATTGACACTCAAGTACCTCAGTGGGGTCCCTGTGATGAGCCCTGTACATAGGGCTCACCTCGTTTCTCCTCATGACACCCCACTGGGATTCTTATTTTATTATGGTGAAGCTGAGCCTCAGAGAGGGTCAATAATCTGCTTTAGGTCACACAGCGGGTAGATGGCAGAACCTGGAATTGGATCCACATCTATCTGGCCAAAAAGCTCAGGCTTTTAACAGCCCTATAGAATGCCAGGGTTCTCCCTATAGTAGACCAAAAAAGTACTTCCTGGGCCCTAGAGAAAAGGCCATCTTTACACTTAGTACAGTACTGAAGACATCAGACTGTGTTGTCCTTAGACACCGCCATTAGCTCATGTTTGGTCCACCCGCAATGCTCTCCCCTTTTTGCCTTCTCACTAAGCCCATTCTTGTTTCTCAGGTGTTCTCCCCTCTGAAACCCTCTTCTGTGGTATCCCCTCCCTCCCCTCTACCCCCATATTGCAGTGTAGGTATCAGGACCTTAAGGACATGCACACTGATCTTTATCCTAATGGCCTGTCTGATGAGGGGAGCGCTTCCCCCACACCCCATGGGGCCTGGCCGGCAGTAGATGTTGCTCATAACAATTGTAGTGCTTCTCACTGCAAGCGACAGAAATCGACTCTGGCTAGCCTACACCACAGAGGCACATTTTTGAAAGGGTGTGTGGTGGCTCCTTGAATGAAAGGAAAAGCTGAAGAACTGAGCTCAGAAAGGGCAGGAACAGCAGGATCCCCAGGGGTGCAGGTGTCAGGACGCTACTGCAGGGATGTGGACGCAGGCCCGGGAAGGAGGGATGGGTTGGCCTAGGTTTTCGATACTCCTTTCTCCTTGGCATCTTGAAAGAGCAAGGCATCCGTATTGACACAGCCACCGTGGCTATGCCCAAGGGAGGAAGTGCAACTCCCCAAGGGAAATTGTCCAAAGAAGGGGAAAGGTCTCTAGATAGTAACCGTCCTCTACAGTGACTTCTGTTTCTGGTACAGATGCCTCCAAGATGTAGCTCTCCCACCGCGGGGCCACCTCCACTCCCACAGAAATCACTGGAAACCAGGTAGGAGGCCTGATCATTTCTCCAGAGCTGCTGTGCCCTCACACCCTCTTGGGGCTCCTGCATGGCAGGAACTGGCCATGTGTGGTGGTGAGCACGGCCACCATGTCCTGGGCACACCTGCCCTTTCACTGTCAGAGAAGCATGCCAGGCCCCAGAAGCGGCCACAATGTGGCCCAAGCCGTGGAGCAGTCGTGAACTGTGCCTACCTCCTCTGGCCACAGAGGAGCTTTCCTTCCCGTGGGCTAAGGGTCTGGGCCATTGTCACTAAGAAAAGACCTGGCCGGGGGTTGGATTCTCAAAGGAGAGCTGGCTGCAGGTCATCTGTGCCCTCCAGCAGCTCCTCGGGGCTGGGAGCATCCCATCACGTGTGTCTCATTTTTATCAGGCACTCTTGAAAGTCCTTCCTGCTCTCAGGAGCCCTAGAGCCCTGTGACAGTCCAGGCTCCCCATGGAGAGCCATTTATCCTATAGGGAGGTTGGTCCAGTTGCTTTGGGGAAGCTTCACATGGCAATGAGCTTATAATGCACTGGCCTGTGGGGTTACCTGGCTGCCATCTGCCTGGTTCACTCCAAAATGAACCTATTTCTAGTTCCCTATGTCAACAATTTAGAACATGTCCAAGTTGGGCCCCCTGTGATGGAGATCTAGAGGCTCTACTGTCAAGAGCAGGCTGTCTTTCAGCCAAGGTATCTGGAGACATTGGCCTTAAGTATGACAGAAGCTTCTCTAGAATGCTGCTGAGTCTCCAGAATGTATGTGTTCAGGACCCCACTTTCTAGAGAGCCACTGTTTCCCTCAGCCTTTAGCCCTAGAGAAAAATGTCAGTGTCAGCGACGGCAGTTGGCCAGTCAGTTTATGAGTTCACTCAAGAGGAAGTCAACACCGATTAACTCACACTGACCAGACTCACAAGAAACCAACGTACCAAGAGATTCTGCTTTATTCGCCTAAACAGAGAACTATCATTGCTGAGGAGACTTATCACAAGGTAACCCTTGTGACCACCAGTGGCATTGCCTCTTCTCTGTATAATTAGTGCCCTTTGCTGCAAAATAACCTCTGAGAAAGCAAATTCCCCTGAGCAGACTAGTCAGGGCATACAGAGCCAGAGCAAAGGGTGAGAAGATCCTAGCAGGTGGTGCTCTGGAGCTGTGGCTGGCTAATGTGCTCATCTTTAATGTGGCACAGTGCCCTCCTCCCTGGATTCCATCTTAGACTCACAGACAAGACAGTACTGGCACCTTTCCTCTCTTTTGACCCTGCAGGTTGTCTTTTATGACTACGTAACAGTTAGCTCCCATTGATGTAATAGAACTGAGTGTATTCTAGATTTTTCAGAAATGCCAAGGCCTTTTGATTTGGATTTAAATGATGCTCTCATGCCCTCAGCAACATGTTGTCTGACCAGGCTGTCCTCTGAAATGGGCCAGTCTCCTATGTAATGGTTATGATTAGAGGGTGGTTTTTTTCTGAACTTGACCCTAAACCCACTTGACATTGGTAAAACACTTGGAATGTCCTCTGCATGACTGACACCATGCACCTCCTTCTCCAGTAACTGTTTCTTTGTTCCCTTTGTGTTTTTTCCAGGGCTCAGAAAAAGCTCTCATGTAGTCTAGAAGACCTGAGAAGTGAACCTGTGGACAAGGTCAGCCCATCAGCCTCTCCATAAAGACTCCTGAGTCACTTCTTACCCAGCAGTGCTGGGACATACAGGTCCCACTTTATAGAGGCTTTTCTAAAGCTGATGGGGAAACAGGAATTGCATGAACATTTTGAGACAACCAGTCAAGTGTGGCCCAAGGCATTGTAGAGGCAGGACAGGAAATGCTTCCTGGAGTTGATGGAGATGTTGAGGTGTAGGGAGCAGGAAGATGTCAGTTTAGAGCCATGAGTCAGATCAAACCATGGAAGGTCTTGAATCCTGACTCTATATCCCCAGAGCCACTTGGGAGCATTACAGAGATTTTGAATGAGGAAGTAATGTGAATAAAGTTGATGAGCCCAGGAGTGAGTTATGGGATAATTTAGAAGACTGGAGAGGAAGCTTTTTTGAGAGTCTAGAAAGATATGAGGAGAGCTTTGTGGCCCCATATATGAGGGTGGCCCTTGACCATGTGGGTGACCCCTATGCTGGAGGGGTAGGTTGCAGGTTCTTGAGCAAGGTCACTGGAGACCAGGGGGGTCCTTCCCTGACGGAGCACCTTAATGGAGCCCTGCTGCCTACAGTCCCTTGGTCTGATCAGTGTACTAGTGCTGGTAATTACAGTGGAAACCCATGAAGGCTGGAGCTGGCAGGGGCCACTGGGCCCATTCAGTGGCTCTGTTCCTGTGGTCCTGTGCCTCTTGCTCCTCCTGGTCAGATTGCTGGCAGCTGTCCAGAACATCTGTCCGTGACTTGGACAGTGGCCTGTGTTTCCATCATGGCTGGTGATTACCTGACATAAAGGTGGGGAGGGAGGGAATGAGCCCTGCAGATATAAGCAGGCAGCTGGTCCTGAGTTGTTGTTTGCGACTAACACTGGTCTCTCTTTCTCCACATGTGTGAAATCCTTCTTGCCACTGCATAGTGTGTCGATGGGAACCAGCTCTCCCCAGTGATAGAACCCAAGGTATATTAACTGCATGCCCCCTGTCATGCATCTGTGGTCACATGTCTGCTGGTGTGTTTTCATTTAGCAGGTTACAGCTTTTGTAACTGTAAAGTATGTTAATCATAACGGGTAAGAGTGCAGGAGGAAAGACAAAGCTTCCTCTACCATTTTCTGTTTATGTGCACCCCGCTGTGTAATGTGATTTCACCTCACTGACTGTGGATAGGATTTATTATTATCTCCTCCGTTTTACAGGCTCAGAAAAAACCCATCTTTAACAAGGCATTGTAGATCTGATTGCTAGGAAGGGGGAATGTTATGACTTCCACATATAATCAGAGGAGTGCGACAGCTCTCATCCTTTCTGTGCTGATGTGTCATGGTTAAACACAGAGGCGCACTCAGCCACCGGTGCAAGAATCTTCCTATGACATCCCCTAATTGTTGCTGTCTGGCACTTGCTTTCTGTGACTGAGAGCTCATCACATCAGAAGACACATCCTGTGTTTTTTCCCAGCTCTATTAGATACATCTTCTGGACTTCCCTAGAACGTGCGTCCGCTGATCCCAGCTCTCCCCCAGCTGAGCCCATGGAAGGAACCAGTGTCCCCTGCTGCTGACTGCTCCAGAATCAAAGTCCCTCAGGCCCTCTCTGACTTGAACACCCTCTCACGTGCACAGATCACAAGCCTTCCGAGTTTCTATTCCGTCTCCTTAGGGTCAGCACTAGTTTCTCTAGCTTGTGGCCTGGTCCACTCTTGAGCACGATATTCTAGATGGTGTCTAATTGGTGCCTTCCTTGAGCTGGGGACTGCTCTTATAGTTCCTGCTGTCAGTCCAGACCCTGGGGAATGTGATAGTTTCTGTACCTTTGTTTATGTACTGTCCTGGTGTGCTCAGCCTGAGGCAGGAATTGTTCCCTATTTAGAAGCAACGAAACAGTTTCTGGGAGGCTCGAGAGAGAGAGTTGCCTGAGTCCTATCTGATGTGAAGTCTGTGTTGTGTCACTCTGGTGTGCTACCCTCTCTGTTCTAACTTAAGGCAGCTGAGCAGTTATACACTGCCCCCTGTCTGGGATTTCCATTACCCCCACAACCAGGCTTATTCTTCTGTTCCTTCTGTGGCCTATCCTGACTTTGACCTTCTCTGGCAGCGAGCACTTCCTTCCCAGGTTTCCTTCTTGGGTGAACAGAGCTGAGAGCCCTTTCTGTTACTCTTGATTCCTTTGTTGTCTTTCTTACAGGTCTGCATGGCCCATCCTTGAGTTAGGTTCTGTCCCTTTCCTCCCAGCTCCCCATCAAGCACCCAGGGCAGCCCACATCTGCGGCCGTGGTCGTCTTTGCCCTGTCTTCGGGGAGCATATGTGATGGTGCAACCAGAAATCTGGTTTTGAGAGCCCTTCCTTGCTCCATATTTCCTGTGTGACGGGAACCTGGAGTCACAGTTCGCGAAACCTCTTGAACATTGCCTTCCCCACAGTCTGTGGTTCTAGGTCTGACTATGCATCAGAGTAATCTCAAACGCTAGTTTAAAAATACTGACACTTGGGGTACGGTCCCACAGGGGCAGATTCCCAGGACCGGGTACACCCGAGATCTCTGGTGTTTTCATTAGTGTCCCAGGTAACTGTGGAGCAGTTGGTGCACAGACTAGCATTTGGAAACTGTTGGTCTTGCCAGTGTATGATCAGGTCCAGTCTCTACCTTGTGGGTCATCGTGAACGTAAAAAGCATGCACTGTCCCTCTCTTAAGGCTCTGGTTATTTCCACCTCACGAGCCAGTTCTTGAACAGTTCCTTGGAAAGAAGCACCTGGGTGGCTCAGTCAGTTAAGCATCTACCTGATTCTTGGTTTCAGCTAAGGTCATGATTTCACAGTTTCATGAATTCAAGTCCTGCATCAGGCTTCACGCTGAGTGTGGAGCCTGCTTGGGATTCTCTGTCTCCCTCTCTCTCTGCCCCTCTCCCACTTTCACTGTCTCTGTCTCTCTCAAAATAAATAAATAAACTTAAAAACGACAACAAAAAGAATACCTTGGAAATATAGTATACTTTTTTCACATGTCTCCTTTCTGAGTTTATTTATTTATAAGGGGTTACCACTCCATGTTCAGTGAGGGAATCAGACTTCAAACAGTTTCTAGGATGATGTATTTATAAGCACACTGAATTCAGAAATTCATTGGACATTTGGCTTCTAACTGAATGAAACTTCAAAAGATGTCTCAGCCATTAAACCCTCCATTACTTTTCTGACTTGTCAGTTGTGAAATCCAAACTTTGCGTATTACTTTTCTTCTGGGCCCGATCAAGTAATCCACAGTTGATTTCCTTGGTAATGTTGCTTCATTTTCTGTTCTTACTGACATGCATTCGACTGGGTTTCCCTTAGGTTTGTGGGTTTAGGGGGCATTATGCCCTTCTTTTAAAAAAAAATTCTAGTATAATTAACGTACAGTGTTATGTTAGTTTCAGGCAGACAATATAGTGATTCAACACTTCTGTATGATACTCAGTGCTCACCACGATGACAGGACTCTTAATCCCCATCCCTATTTCACCCATCCCCCCACCCACCTCCTCTCTCATCACCATCAGTTTGTTGGCTATAGTTAAGAGTCTGTTTCTTTTGTCTCTTTTTTACTTTGTTCATTTGTTTTATTAAATTCCACCTATGAGTGAAATTATATGGTGCTTGTCTTTCTCTGAGTGCCTTCTGTCCTTCCTAACCAAATAAGTACACTTCTTTCCCTTTACATTATCTTGTTTCTTTGGGACCCTTTCTATGGCCAGGGTGCGTGCGCAAGCCCATTGCACCGGGGCTGAACATCGGGCAAACTATGATCCTAAGTTTCTAAGGGAATTGTTGGCATGGAGCCCCCTGGTCTGTTTTCTCTCCCAAGTTGTACGTACCTTCTCACTTTGCCTTAATCTGCTATTTTTCAAGATAACTTATTGTAATATATAGATATAATTAATACATATGATCTGTATTATCAATATATATAATAGGTATACTTTTATTAGAATTTGGGTTTGTATATTCAAAACACCCAAAGGATAATTCATGGCTGTAATTCGTTGAGCCTCCGAGCATTAGGCCAAATGGCAAAGGCCTCCTTTGCAAGATGCTTCCACTTCCTGTTTGGAGTCAGCTGCAGTCGGCCCTGGATTTGGGCTTGACTCTGTCCCTGTCTCATTGCATGGCCCTTTCTCAGAACTTTGGTCCCCTTTCCGGGACTGACTGATCTTTGAAAGGTCTCTGAGTTGACCTGAGTGAAAAATGGCCCTTAGAAAGCCAAGCGGTGCCTGTATCCAGAGATTTCCTAACTGGGTTTGATTTTGAGCCTGATAAGCTGGCTCAACATGTCTCTTTCTCTCCTTCCAATAGGACGGCCCTTTCCTGGCAGAGCACAAATACCCCACATTACCTGGGAAGCTTTCGGGAGCTACACCCAATGGAGAGGCTGCCAAGTCAACTCCCATGGCCTCACAGCCCGACCCCACAGGGGGCAGCCTGCTCAGGCTGAGTGAGTGTCCAAGCCCTGGGGTTGGTGGCCCCTGGAGCAGTGGCCTTGGCACATTCCGTTATTGCCCAAGGTCCCTGCACCCACGGTTGGAGAATGTGGGAGCGGGGGTTGGGTGGACGAGATAAGTTGTCCCTCTGGGTGGCGTCACTTGCTGAGACAATGACTCCTTGTCTGGGCACACTATTTCCTTTGGTAAACACTGTAGAGTGCCAGAAACCCAGGCTGGGAGTCCACCCTTTCTTTCCAGCCGCAAGCACTCCACCCCACCCCCATTTTCCCTCTTCCAATCTTCCTTTCTTGGCCCTTCTTATCCCATCATTCCTCTGTTCCCTCCCTCCTAGACCCCTTCTGCACCCTTCCTGTCCCTCACTCCACCCCTCCTCCTCTGTCATCCTGATCTTTGCTCTCCTGTCTCCACCTTCTTCTTGCAGCCTCCCTATTACCATTAGGATGATATTATGTGCTCTTCCAAGGGAGAGTGTTTCCTTAGGGAAATGGAGTCAGTGGCCAATGGGCAAGGATTTCCATCCACAGGTACCGTTTTGGTGCTTAGGGCCTGGAACCATGGAGGTCTTTGCTGCTTTTCATGCAGAGTAGGCCATCTTTCCTCAACAACAACAGATCAGTGGAGCCCAGGAGGGAACGTTCTGGTCCCTGCAGAGCTCTCCCTACCCGACCTCTCCTTCCTGGTTGTTCCCTGAGCCAGCCCATGTGTCAGCTTCTGCCCTTGGCCAGTTCTGCCTCTGGCTGTAGGAACTCCAAATAAGCTCTTGAATGAGTGTGTCCTAGTAATACGGAGACTCTGGACTTGGAAAGGCTTTGGACCATTCTAGTCTGATCTAAGTGATCAGACTGGCACCCACACAAGAGAAGAGGTGCACGTGGCCCAGTATATCAGCCCCTGCCACTGTTCCCCCCTCCCTGTGTGTGTGTGGATACCTCAGCCTGCCAGGAAGTGGCCCCAGGAGTATTTGGCCCCTCATGTGAGGCCTCCGTTCACTGCACTGACCCTGTGGGCCAAGTTCAGCCCCTGTTCCCCCCTTCTTTTCTCATGGGATTGTTTTTCTTTCTGTTTGAGTTTTTCTCTCTTGCTCGATGACTCTTTTGTTTATTTCTTTGCTTCCCTATAACTCTGTTGGGCTGGACTTTGGCCTCTCTTGCTTCTTCATGTGGCTTCTCTACTTCTTGATTGGCTGGAGATCGTGGCCGGAGTGTCAGTGCCCCCGTATTAGGTACTGTACCCTTCCAGGTGAGGTGGAGAGTGAGATGCCCTAGTTTCCCTACCCTAACACCCTCCCCTTCTGGAACATTCAGCCACGTCCCCCTCCTGCCTGCATTCCCGCATCTCCCCCTGGAAAAAGAGGAAGCTCCTTGTTGGAGTTATCCATAAGTACTTGGACCCCCAAAACCTTTAGCACTTGAAGACATTAGCTCACCCAAATTTGAAACGTTAACTTCGCCAGTCCTCAGAGAACCTGGAGTGTGCCTGATCCCCCTGCTGGTCTCTGAGATCTGGATGTAAAGTGCTTCCCTGAAGGCAGAGCAGGGCAGACTCTTCCCCACTCCCACTGAAGGATGGCCCGGGCCTGGGGAGGAGGTCTCCAGAGGACCCGTTCCTTCCTCTCATTGATACACTATTCTGTTCTTCCCATCTCAGGAGACACAGAAAGTGGTTGGGATGACACTGCTCTGGCCAATGACCTCTCATCCACATCATCGGGCACTGACTCAAGCCCCCAGTCTCCCCTGACGCCAGATGGTAAACGGAGCCCCAAAGGCATCAGGAAATTCTGGGGAAAGTAAGTTGGTGGTGGTGATTATAATTACGTTGCTTAGAATTAGCATTCTTCTTGAATGGGCAAAGAACTGCATAACCCCCTGTTTAATCAGATGTTGAAACAGCAGTAAAAACAGAATGGTCATTAGAAGGATTTGAGTTATCTTGTAGGCCCCGGAGGAGGAGAACTATGAAAGCACTCATTAAATGTAGCAGTTGCCTTACATGTCCTTCATTCCAGGCATCTGTCCCACAAACCCTGAGTGCATTCTCTGTAGTTTACGCTACAATGTACTTTGGGAGAGACACTTGGATGAGACCAATTTCTTTTTTCTGATGGGTCAGTCTGTGTCTTAAGAAAGATTTGCCATCCCAGTTGACTCAGTCTGTGAAATGAGGCAGAAACTGGGGCCTCCTACCAAGCATCATTCCTCACTTTGACTCCACATGGTGTGCCCTGAAACCCAGAGGCAGAATTAAAATGGAGGTTGGGTCTGGGGAGCTGTCACAAGTCATGATCCTTAACCTCTGGGGAGGCACTGGGGACAAGTGCTGTGGAGAGTCCTGGGTCCAGCTTCTGTGGCCCTGTGTAGGGGGCTGGTACACTGGCTGCGTGCTCTCAGGCCGTCCCCTGACAGTCTCCATGGATTCCTCTCCACATAGAATCCGAAGAACTCAGTCAGGAAATTTCAACACTGATGCTCCGGGGATGGCAGAGTTTCGACGCGGTGGGCTCCGGGCAACCGCAGGGCCAAGGCTTTCTAGGACCAGAGACTCCAAGGGTCAGAAAAGGTAAACCTCCCTCCAGGGTGGAGTGGGAAGGGGGTGCTGAATGCTCCAGAGGTGGAAGGCAGGAGTTTCTAGTGCAAAACTTCTCAACCTTTCCCACTTGGCACGAGTAGACATTGCTCATGTTTTACAGGTACACTAAGGTAAAGGCAAAAGGCTCCCTACAAACCAAGGTGGCCGGTGGGGGCTCTCCGGGCTCCCTGAGGACCTCAGCAGCTCTGTGCCTTGCACACTGGTGCCACCATTGAGAGCACAGATTCTGGAATTATAGACCCGAGTTGGAATGTGCTCAACCACTTCCTAGCTGTGAGCCTTCAACCAGGTTATATAACCTCTCTCTGCCTCATTTTCCTCATTTGTGAAGTGAGAGGTAAAAAGAAGTATTTTCTTAAAGTTCTTGTGAGGATCACATGCACCACTGCCCATCTAACCCAAGCATCAGTGGTCTGCCATTCATGGGTCCACTTTTTCTAGGAAATCTGAGAAAGGGCGTTGTCTCCCACCCCTCTCTGGGTCAGTCCCCCTCCCACACAGACCTCCACAGGAGGCTGTTGGCCTGTTGCCATTATCCCTCCTAAGACAAAGCACCGCAGTTTGCTGAAGGGTGTTAGCTAAAGGGGGTTGCAGAGGGTATGGGGCACTGGCATCAAAATGGGAACTTTCACATGACTCTTCCATCGTGCCCAAATGAAAAAGCATTAAAAGAAGTTACACTTTTCCTGGACTGCCCTAGTAGATACCCTCCAGTTACTAGCTTTACCCCCTTTCCTTAGGTCATCCTATTCTGAGAAAGCATGCCCCCCTTCAGATCTGCCCAGGCAAATCTTTACTCCTGTGTTTTCGGAAAATCCCTTCCCATATCCTCTGTTCCCAGCAGACAATTTCTACAGTGTATTGTCTCCAGCACTGTTCTCCTAAAGTCTGAGTTATTTGGCCAAGATCAGGCTTCTGGGGGCCTTCCTCAAGACTGGATTGTGCCATTTTAAATCTGACCAGTGAAAAGTAACATTAACTCTTCATATTTAATCCCTCTGAGATTGCCACACACCAATGCCGAGTGCAGGTGCTAAGATGTGCACAACTCAGATATCAATTCTCAGAAACAATACAGCCTAGATCCCAATGATGAGCAAAGAACGTTTCCCTAAAGCATCATGTTGTTGGCAGACCTGTACCCCCAAGGAAGGGAACCCACCAATGCACACTCCCCCCACCCTGCCACCCTCAGGCTTCTATAGGCTTTGCAGGTGCACACGGGGCCTTTCCACATCCACTCGCACTTTGGTGGCGTCCTCAGACGTCTTCTCCAGGTGCCTTGCAGAGAAGTGTAAGGGTGTGTAGACTTCTGTTTCTGCTCTCTGAGGATCAGGGTGTTGGTGTTTACCCTTGTAATCAAATGTAAATGCTCAGTAAATGCTAGCTTTCCAAGGCAGGAGAATCTAAGGACATGGTTTGAGAAGGCAGAGACCAATTCACAGCCCTTAAAAAGTGAGCCAGAGAAAGCTTATACGTTCCAAGAGCATTCCAATGTACTAGCAATTTTTAAATGTAGACTTCAACATCTTTGATTCTTCAGAGATGAAAAAACAATCTGCAGTAAGGTTGAATGATGAACCTTGGCTCCAAATCTGGCAATTTCTTTAGGGTTGATTCTTGAAGGGAAATCACTGGCAGGGGTAGAAGAAATTTTCTAAGACCCTTCAGCCTGTTTTTCTTAACATAGGACTGCATAGTTAGGGGGCCCATTTTGCCATTCTGGGCAACCATTTTGGGATGGGGTAACTGAAGTCAGGAACTTTCTCTGCTGAAGGAAAAATGGCATTTCCACCCACAGAGCTGCTTTGTTTGAATGTCTTTGTGCTTTGTTAACCGGAACAGTGATGATGAAGGGAAAGAAAATGACGTCCTGAGGAGATTGCTGCATTTATGCTACCAGTGCTGGTGGTAACAACATGTGTTGGCCGGTAGAAAAGAAAGAACTTTATTACTCTGAAGCAGAAACTTGATAGAAGCTAAGGTCCGCTGGTATTTATAGATGTTTCGGTATAGCCTTGTAAAATATCGCCAACAATATCCCTGTAGGAAAAACACTTTGTTACAGCAAGTCTCCAGCCCCAATCTCTTTCTTTTCCTAATGAAATATTTCTTTTTTAAGTATCATATTTGATAGTGACACTTTATAGGACTCCTCTCTGAGGTTATAGAAGAAGGAATTTTATTGTCTTTTTTCTTCTGGTATCAGGTTTTACTGATTTGCATCCCAGGAGGCACTGCTATAGAGGGTGCCTGTCACACCCACAAACTACTACATTTTTATTGTTAATTTCGTTTGCATATGTTTGTCATTTTTCTTGAGCTGTCTGCATTTTTTTGCCCATTTTTGTTAGTGTCTGTCTGACAAATTTCTGTCTGCTCTCTCTATATTAAGATATTGAGCTATGTCTCATTGTGATAAATTATTTTTTAGGCTTCTCGCAGAATTTTACTTTATTCTCTGACAGTTTGATGTATGGAATTTTTATGTTTAAACTGAGGTTCATGAACTTTTCCTTTGTGGTTTCTTCCATGTTAAATGTTTTTGACGATTTGTTTTTCAAGTTTATTTATTTATTTCGAGTGAGAGAGAAAAAGGGTAAGTCAGGAAGGGCAGAGAGAGAGAGGGAGAGAGAAAAATCCCAAGCAGGCTCCATGCTGTCAACCTATGAACCGAGATCATGACCTGGGCTGAAGTCAGATGCTTAACTGAGCAAAAAACTGTGTTCACATCTTCTCTTAGGGACTTATTTTGGTATGTGGTGAAAGGTAATTTTATTTTTCCAAGAAAAAGCAGCAGTGTGTAATGTAAAAGTCAGGCAGACTCCATCACATGGTTGGATCTCAGCTTTGTGCAGGGATTTTCTGAGTTGGTCTCCTGAGTCTACTGCCCTTTGAAACTGTAGCTTTATGAAGGTTTCTAATCAGACTATTTTATTGCCTTTCTCCTGTATTCATGGTCAGTGTCAGGTTTATCCTGAATGTGAGAAAGCCTTAGCTTCAAGGTCCTTTACTTGCACCTGAGTGTCTTCTAGTATCTAGAGAGAGTCTAGTCAATGTGCTGGTGTTGCCATGGGTTTCGCAAAATTTTCCTAAGGTATTTTAACACATCCGGTTTGGGACTGCCAACTCAACTCCAACCTTCCCATTGTCTACATACTGCCTTCTGTCAAATGACGGAGCAGCATGGGCATTTTGGGGACCTGGCTAAGGGGAAGTTGAGTTTTGGGTATCCATTTAGTTTGGATTTGGTGGGATGTGCGTATGTGGTTTGCACTCACTTCATGTTTAGTTGACTAGCTGTCCAATATAAAAATGGCGCCAGGATTACTGCTACTTCCCAATGTGCCAGTTTGCCCAGCACTCTGATACAAAGACGCACAGTTGGAGATCATGTCCCAGTATGAACGTGCACTCTGATATAAAAAGGCAGAGTTGGAGATTGAGTCCCAGTATAAATGTGTCCTTTGGCACTCAGTATCAGAAGTATGGGGTGGTGGAAAAGAAACATTTCAGATGTATAAAACCAGAAGCTATTCTGTGAAAACTTTTTCCAGTTGTTAGATCTGCAAAATCCCAGGCAAGGGATTCAGTTCTCTTGGACACTTAGGGAAAAGAGAAGTTCTGTCTAGGCAGAAATGCACTAACGAAGCTTATACTTCATATGTTCTCCCTCTTTCACGGGGAAGGCATATCTGATAACTTGTTACATCGTTTTAACTGCGATTTGGAAAGATGTTTTGGAACATGTCAGTAAAGCAAGGGATTTGGCTGTGTCTGAAAGGTACCTTCTCTGTCCTCTCTAAATGACTTAAAAGTTTGTTCAGCTAAGGCCCTGGGCGACCCCGGAACTGAGAGAACCTGGGGTGGGGGCAGGGCTGGGAAGGGGGAAGAAGGTGAAGAAGAATCAGGGTCTGCTACTGTGAGAACAACCCAGGGGTGGGAGGGTGGAGACCATTTACAAAGAGGGACATGGGAATTCTGCTGAAGACAAGCACCAGATGTTTAGAAGGTTCTGAACATGTGTACAAGACCGAGATTTTCAAATTATCTCAAAAACACTTATTTTTCCTTCAGAGCTGAAATATTCCTCTGGTATATCGAATACCCATTTTTACCAATTTCCAGAAACCAGAAAAGGAATGCAATAAAAAACTAATAGAATGTGAAATAAAAGTGATAAAATGCACATTTGAAATTGAAAGTATTCTCACATTAACAATAAACAACAACAAAATTCCAGATCATACCAAAAGCGGTAATTCGTTGAAAGCAAAAGATAAATTCCAAACAAAATCCGTGAATAGTTTCCTAGATTATTGTTCCTATAAAGTGAGTCATATGAGCACACTGGAAAACTGAAAATTTCTTGATTTTTATGGGATGGAATATATCGACAAAGGTAACAAACTCATAAAGGAATTAATAAAAATATGTCTAGATTTCATAATGGTTTTCAGTTTCATTAAATTTATAATTTTTCTGTGATTTCTCATCCTAAATGAGAATTGGTCCCCAATTCCATACTCAAATTTTGTACTTTTCTTAGAGGGCCCCCCAAATTTTGTAAGTTCTAGGTCTCACAAAACCTGGATCTATACCTACTCGTGTCCCATTACAATCCAGGTTCCAGACTCCCAGTTGTCTGGCATTTACCCCAAGGCACCTAGAATCACATTTTCATTTTCTTGTCATTCTGGTCTTCTAACTCTTTCACTTTAAGAATAACTCAGCCGGGGGCGCCTGGGTGGCGCAGTCGGTTAAGCGGCCGACTTCAGTTAATGACCAAGGTCCGTGAGTTCCGTGAGTCCGTGTATTGGGCGCGTCGCTCTGGGCTGATGGGCTCGGAGCCTGGAGCCTGTTTCCCATCTGTGTCTCCCCTCTGCCCTGCCCCTCCCCCTACGTTTCATCATACTTGGCCTCTGTCCCAAAAATAAAATGAAATAAACTAAGAATTAAAAAAAAAAAGAATAACTCAGCCAGGCATTCAAATATATATATATATATATATATATATATATATTTTTTTTTTTTTTTTTTTTTCTTTTTTTTAACCAGTGTGTTGGGGGTACTTTTCTGGAAGGAACCTTACAGGCTCTCTGGTTTTCTACATTCCATAAATCCTGCTTCATTTTTTCCCAATGAACATAAGATACTTTGTCACCTCCTCGCCTACCAGACTCCATTGAGGTTTTGAGTGTACCATTATAGTCACACTTTAAATGAAAAATTAATGTCTTTAAGAACTGATGGCTTTGTAATACCCAGTCATCCTGTCTGAACAACTTGTAGCTAGCTTCATTTTATTCATGACTCGTGTTCTCGGTTAGCTTGGAATGTCATAGCCACCTCTCCCCTGCACTGCCCCCCACCCACTTCCCACCCCGTTGAACTTCACACAACACATACACATTGCTTGTAAAAGCAACTCCTGGACATTTTAGCATTCTGGTTGCTATAAGTGGGACTTTTAAATTACCTTAAGAGAAATGTTAGTATCTGTGCTACGAATTTTGTAAGTCCCATAAATACTATGTATGTGTCTTATAAGTAGCCACCTTACTGAGTTCTCTTAGATTTTCCAGGTAGGCAGTTACCTCATCTGAGAAGAGTGGCTTGCTTTTCCTTCTACTTTGTATCCTCCTTTCTCTCTCTTCCTGAACTGGCTGCACTCTCAGACCAGTGTGATTAGTCCTGATTAAAAACATTATTTTTATTGACTTTAATGTGAATGTCCCTAGTGTTTCAGTAAGAAAGGATTAGTTGTTTAGAAGTTGTTTTTAATTATTTTTTTTAATGTTAGAGAACTGACCCCCTTCTCCTAGTTTTCTATACATTTCCCTAAAAACACTGTTGATCCACAAAAATCTTGTCAATAACATGATTGGTTGTAGATCGTCCTCCAAATGGAGCGTGACTCTGGGCTTGTGGCACACGGTGCCCAGTAAGTGGACGGATGGCGCGTAAACACAGCCTCCCGGGGATCGCAGAACTGGCCCCTGCTGACAGTCACTGCAGACTCGAAATTCAGACCAGGTGTTATCAAAGGAAACTAGAGTCTACCGCAAATGAGAATTATAGTGGAATTTTGTACAACTAGACCCCATGTTGGGATGGTTTAAAACCTAGTTCCCTCTTTTATGTGGCTCCGTTGTGTTCAGATGCAGCCTCCGGCTCTCCCCACTAACAGGGACATGTTGTCTTCCTGCTTCCCAGTGACGCCGGTGCCCCCTTTGCCCAGTGGAGCACAGAACGTGTGTGTGCGTGGCTGGAGGACTTCGGCCTGGGTCAGTACGTGATCTTTGCCAGGCAGTGGGTGACTTCTGGCCACACTTTACTGTCAGCTACCCCTCAGGACATGGAAAAGGTAAGGGCTGAGCCCTGGGAAGGAGGTTCCCATTTCTCCTCAAACCAATGTCTGGGGAGGTGAGGCCCCCACTTCCCTATCCCCTGCCCTTACACACACACACACGAGGGTGGGTGGAAGAGGCTGAGAATTCCTCTGTCACTGCAGGTTGATCCCCTGCACTGTGCAGGGGTCCCCAGGTGGACTTCCATGACGCCCTCTGAGGGTCAAACTGCCAGCTGGAATTTCATATCTGTCTTCATCTTTCAATTTCAGGAGTTAGGAATTAAGCAACCTCTGCACCGGAAGAAGCTGGTTTTAGCAGTGAAAGCCATCAACACCAAGCAGGAGGAGAAGTCCGCACTGCTCGACCACATCTGGGTGACACGTAAGGACAGGCAGTATATGTAATATGTTTCCAGCAGCTCCTAAGGGTAAAAAAGCATTTCCCTGGGAGTATGTGGCTCACAGACTGCAGTCTACTTGGGAAAGGCACGTAGATTACTAAACCTTATGGGGAATACAGCTGCACTTCAAGATGATGATTTGTTGCTTTTTATTTATTTATTTGCATGTATAGTCTCCCATTCTTAGGAGCCCTAACACACCCATTTCTTCTGGTTTCTGTAGGTTGGCTTGATGATATTGGCTTACCCCAATACAAAGATCAATTTCATGAATCCAGAGTTGATGGGCGAATGCTACAATATCTGACTGTGGTGAGGATTTTCCCTTTCAGTGTTTCAGTTGTCCCTGCAAGCACTCAGCGCAGGTATCCCCACAGCAGTTATTTTAAACCTGATTCCACCTCCTCCCTCATATTCTTAGGGTCTTTAAATAGTATTGTTCATCACAGAAGAGGTCGGAAGTAGCAGAGTATGAACACCATGCTACGAAAAGCTGCTGTGTCCACATGCCCCTTCCTGAGATGTGGTAGACTTGTCTGTGTGTGGTCTGGGAAGGAAACTGAAGGATCTTAGTCACTTTGGAAACTCGGGTTTATTAACCAAAACATTTCTCTTCCAGAATGATCTCCTCTTCTTAAAAGTCACGAGCCAACTACATCATCTCAGCATCAAGTGTGCCATTCATGTGCTACATGTCAATAAGTTCAACCCCCACTGCCTACACCGGCGGCCAGCTGATGAGGTAAGGGTAGGACAGTACCTATCCCGGTAACCCTGAGTCAGGACACGTGCACGATTGGGTGTGAGAAAACAAGAATGACCTCAGCGCAACATGGCTGCCTTTCGGACCAGGGCGCTTAGGATTCTTCCCTTTGCTAGTGCCACATGGTGCCCCAAACACCCGTTGCTTGCATTTTGTGTCCCACAACGGACATTAGACCTCCAAGCTCCCACCGCTCTTGGGGGGACACATGCTCAGGGCCAGAGGCGATAACAGCAAGTCTTTCAAAGCCATTGCAGTGATCAAAGATGATGAGCAAGTGGAGCAAAGGAGAAGGAGGGGAAAGCAAAACAGACAGATGGGGTCAAAGTAGACGGAGGAGAAAAGGAACCAGACGTTTCAGAACAGATCCCCCTACTTGCAGATATGAAATTAACTGACCTCCAATCCAGGTGCACAGGGATCCCTGCGCAGGTTTTGCTAGAGCAGAAGTCACGTAGGTAAACACAGCAACCCTCATTCTGGAGAAGTGCCTGATAATGTTCTATGTAACTCAGAGCGCTTGTTGGGCCCTGTCTGCTATATTCCTAGGATCTAGTATAACCCTGCTGTAAGATTAACTCTGCTTCCTGAGGGATTAGAAACTCCTTCCCCTACCTTCCATTTCATTTTTGTCGAATACAAATATGTTTTGGATGCCTTCTGTGTGTCAGGCATGGTGCTGGACATTCTGAAGACCAAGATGCCACTTAGGTATAAGCGTCTTAATGTGTGTTCCCCTAAAACATTTGGCCACGCCATGGAGATCTTTTGTCTGTAAAACACTTGGCTCGTAAATGATAGTCCTCTTTAAAGTTTTGTTGAATTACTGAATGAATGACTCCATGCCTTCATTTACTGGTCCCAGTGTTAACCAGATGATTAGGGAGTCTCAGGATTCTGTGCCATCAGATATTTCAGTGTAGAAGGGCTTGCAAGATTCTGTGAGAGCTCTACTACTTGGAAACTGGGAAGGCTCTCGGATGGCTGGGATGGCTGCCTGGGTCTCTGGGCATGAGGGCTGCCTTCTGGTCAGGCATCTGAGGCAGGCTTATTCGCAGGGGCTGGCCCCCAGAGAAGACCACAGGTAGGACCTATTAGACCTAACTTTTTCACTCTCCTTCTCCCTCTCACAGAGTAACCTTTCTCCTTCAGAAGTTGTACAGTGGTCTAACCACAGGGTGATGGAGTGGTTGCGATCTGTGGACCTGGCGGAGTACGCGCCCAATCTTCGTGGGAGTGGTGTCCATGGAGGCCTCATTGTGAGTGGCTCTTTAGCCTGCTTTGGCATAAACTGGGCTATTCAGAAACTTATTTCTCAATGGCCAGACATAAATCCTAGTAAAAAAATATTGGTAGTTCATCTGAAGCCCTTGCTTGCATCAATTGAAATCTCAAAATATTTGATAATTTGCAATTGGGAATTAACATACCTCATGGAAACAGGATGGTTTCTGGAAGAACTTCCGTAGCAATAGACCCAGAGGATTCCCAGGACAAATGGGTTGCATGTCAGACTGCACCTGGAGTGATGCAGTGGCTGGGGAAGTGAGGGGCTGGCCACCGAAATGTAACTTCCTGCTTGCCACGATATGATCATGATGGTCACTCAGATCTGTCAAGTGGTAAAGCCAGTGGAGAAATGAAGGGATGGTTCAGAGGTCAGAGTGGACCCTGGGAGACCATCTTATCCAAAGAGTCACAGCTCTCTGCTGGCCTGTGAAAATGAGGTTGTCAGTCAACAAATGTGGTAGCCAGGCCATGTGTCAGGAAAAGAGAGGGGAGTGGGATACAGGACAAGTGGATAAGCTTCAGCCCTTGCTCTGGAGGCACCCCTGGGCCCACGGAGACCTGTTTCTCACTGTCACCACCTGGAGCCATCTGTGGTCATCACTGCATGGCTCTGTCTGTGCTTTCTTCTTAGATCCTGGAGCCCCGCTTCACTGGGGACACCCTGGCTATGCTTCTCAATATTCCACCGCAGAAGACGCTCCTCAGACGTCACCTAACCACCAAATTCAATGCCCTGATTGGTCCTGAGGCTGAACAGGAAAAGCGAGAGAAAATGGCCTCCCCAGCTTACACACCACTGACCACCACAGCCAAAGTCCGGGTGAGTTGCCAGACCCTCTCTGGGGTGGTCACAGGGGCCCGCCTTCTAGCACCCATGTTGTACTGAGTTTGGCCCAGTGCCTGGAGCCAGACCAGCGTGTGCCACCTGGACGAGGAGGCTCTCTCGGGTCCTGCCCCGAGAGCTCGGTCTCCTTGTCCGTGTTTGTTAGGCCAGTTCCCTGCCATACCTGGGTCCAAGGAAGAGAGTACAATTTTCTTTGCACAGACACCATGTCCAGGAAGCATCTCCTCAGGCAGCTGGCACTTGTCCTCTACCCCAATGCCACCTTGACTCATCTTACAAGTAGATGAGTTCATGATTCTGAGTTCCCTTCAGTCAGACTCATCTGTGTGCCATGGGGTCTGAGAACTGTCCTGGGGCACCTGGATGGCTCCGTCAGTTAAGCATCTGACTTTGGCTCGGGTCATGATCTGACAGTTCATGGGTTTGAGCCCCGTATCGGGCTCTCTGCTGTCGGCACAGAGCCTGCTTCAGATCCTCTGTCCCCTTCCCTCTCTTCCCCTCCCCGCCACCAAATACATAAAAACATTAAAAAAGAAGAACAACAGCTGTCCTGCCAACACAGGGAGCGCTCCTGTTCACAACTGGCCGTGATTGCCTGTGCTGTGGAGGTGGCCGACACACAGCGGCCCAGGGGGCCGGAGATTATACAGGCACCAGCACCACTCACTGGGGTCTCTGAATCTCACAAAGCCCATTAGAAACTGCCTGAGCCGCACTGTCCTCAGACCGTGTCCTTCTTAGGCTGCAGACCCACAGACAGAATCTCTGGAGGCCAGGCTGGCCCTGTCCCCAGCAGCATGGTGATGCCTAGGTTTAGCTACAAGTCATGCACAGACCTCCTTCCCCAAGGGAGCAGGACCAGAAGTGTGTCTGGGGGATACCAGCAGAAGTAGCGCTGGGTGAAGCTAGAGCAAGCAGGAAGGGCCACTGGGGCTCTCCAGCATGGCCTCCCCAGGGCAGGGGGCGCTGCGAGCAGCTGATGCAGCAGCTGTGTGAGACGGGTCCTCCGCCTCAGCACCCTCTAGAAGCTCCTAGGCGCCTCCCCACCCCCGGGCGGGAAGTAGAATGTCACTCATGGGACAGCAGGACCTGGGTTTGTCGCACACAGTCTTGAAGGAGCAAGATTCTCCTTCCTCGTTCGAGATTATTTATCTGTTGCCTGTCCCTAGCCGGGAGCTCTATTTTGTTGAGAATTTTTCTAGAAGTAGCTTGCCTCATTCCTTTCCTCATGGGCCAGCACTTAATCATATTGTAAGTCCTGTCTGCACACTGACTTGATAATCTCGCATTTGTTGTGTTTTAGCCAAGGAAACTGGGATTTTCACATTTTGGAAACATAAGAAAAAAGAAATTTGATGAATCGACAGACTACATTTGCCCAATGGAGCCCAGCGACAGTGCTGGTGACAGTCACAGGGTCTACAGTGGCTACCGGGCCCTCAGCCCCCTCGATGCCCCTGAACTGGATGGGCTGGACCAGGTGGGACAGATTAGCTGATGGCCTTGTTACCTGTCTTCTCTGTGCACCCGAGAACTTCACAGTAACACTGTGTGTGTCACCATATAACTGCACCTCACCCCCTGCACCTGTGCATGCCTTGCAGAGAACATTCCAGCTGTTGTGTACCCCAGGCCAGTGTCTTTGAACTCTGAGGGTGGCCAGGGTACGGAGTTGCACTTTTGCTAAGGGGCCAGGCTTTGGGGACTGTTGCCAGAGGTGGACTCGGGAGGAAAGACACAAAGATGCTTGTATATTTTTGTAATTCTTAATGGCCATGTTCAGCACCGGTGGAAACACACGAACTTGGACACTGGTCCAGAGGTCATGGATGATTCCCAGAGGCTTGGCTCTCGGGCCCTCCACTGTGCTTCCAGTTGAGGGGCGATCTCAAGTGCCTTAGGCCTGTGGCCACAGAGTCTTGGCTGAGACCCAAGGGACAGCAGCAGGGATTTCTGCCACAGTGATGGTGTAACTGCGTTGTGCCTTAATACAGAGGTGGTCGCTTCTTTCTGGTAATAAAAACAATATTTATGTAGAAAGCAAACAGGGCCGTGTAGCTCTAACCTCACTGGGGGATGAGAGCTGGGCACAGCTGGAGAGGGAGTGCTGTGTACGGCATGGCCTGAGAGCTGGTGGCACCGTGCCAGTCCTTGGCCCGGTGCACTCGGCCTTTGCCAAGTGTCATGGACAAGGGGGCTGGAGCAAGGAGGGACCCCGTATTCTTCAGAGGGGTCCGTGGCCTCTTCACTTCAGGCTCCACCCACCTCCTTCTATGAAGCCATGGAAAGCCTTGTGCTGACTGTAGGTCACATCTGTCATGCAGACCCCAAAGTTGGTTTCTGTTTCAGAGGCATGAGCCACCTGGGGGGAGTGGGGGGAGACAAGAAAGTGGCCTCGCTGATAACAGCCTCTTTTCTTTTGTGTGGTTTGTCAGATTCTCTGTTATTGGCCTGGCTGGGCCCATAACCAGTGTGGGGGTTGGTCTGTCTGTTGGCAGAAATGGAACAGCCCTGTCCTCCTGATTTAGAGTCTGGCTAACTGATAATGGCTCTTCCAGATGGGCCTTGTCTGGACGGGGACTGAGGGAAAGACACATCTTGCCAGTCTGGATTCCTGCTCATGAGATTCCAGTTTGCCCTGGGGCAGGTTTTGGCCCTGCCGGGTCCCCTGGACCTCGTCTGCAGAATAAAAGTGGCATCGTAACTGTCTGGCGGCAGGGGCAGGGCTTGATGGCCCCACTGAGGGCACTCTGCTTCTGTCCCAGATGGAGACAATGCCAAGATTTGCTTCTGAAACTACCAGCAGCCCCAGGGATGGCCTATGACCACAGGCCATGACCTCCTGCCGCCGTCCCCCCACCCCCCTCACTGAAGTCAACCAGTGAGAACTGGGCAAACTCTCCAGCTGGCATGGCTGGTGCTTGATCCCAGTACCCAGGACACTAAATGACAGGTGCTCCTTAGGGCGGGTACCTGGACCTTGCTGTCATAGAGCCCCAGGGCAGGCTTGGGCCCTTTTTTCCTGTAGTCTTCTGGTGAGAGAATCTCTGCATGTGCCTGTTCGCAAACCCCACATGGAATTAGATCACTAGATCTCTGTGCAGCCTCAGGCAAGGCCTGTATCCCTTTGTGGGCCTCAATTTTCCCACCTAGAAAATAAAGGGTTGTACTTAAATCCCTCAGAGGATGCTTCTAGATCTACGGTGTCTAACTAGGCTTAAGGAAGGAGCAGACCAACATTACCTGAGGAGGAGGGGTCGAGGGAGGCCCCTGGTAGTGAGGAAGGTCTATAAGCAGCTCCCTGAAGGTGCCCACCTGTACCTGTCCAGGGTCCTATTGGCGCCGGAAATTGTGGTTGTATTCGGCATCCCGAGGCCTTCATCCCTGCCGCTCCCTGCTCCTGGAGCTAGCTGGAGCACTGAGCGTGTGCGGAAGGGAAGGGCTGCTTCTCACAGGCCATCTGTGCCCTCTTCCCGTGTGCCCCCAGTGCCGGTGCTGGCGTGGCCCATAGGAGTGTGTCACACGGCTGTGTGGGAGACCAGAAGCCCTGCCCTTCCCAGGGACAGAAACAGCATGTGCTCTGCCCACCTGCCACTCCTCAGGCCTGGCCCCCTCCTCGCCCACTCCCCCAGGACAGGACTTGCATGCCATCTCTGTGAATCACAAGCTGAGTCCACGTGTGTTGACCAGGCTGCCGCCCATTTTACAGATGGCGCCTTCGGAAGGCACTGTGACGCAGATAGGGCTCCTCTCCCAAGACATTCACCGTCTCACGGTAGGATTCTGACCCCTCTCTCCACAGCAGGACAGGTGCCGGGGTGGCCCCGTGAGTTTGGTACAGTGGTGCACAAGGCCTGAGACCCCCACCCCACCCTGAACCTGTGTCATCAGTGCCTCTGCCAGGAATCCGCAGGATGGTGCTAGGCATGGTGGCCTGAGCTGGAGCCAGCTCTTGGTAGAAAGCAGCCCAGAAGCTTCTCCATGGGCCTGCTGCTGGGCCTTGAGCTGGGCCTTGAGTTGCTAGGGGCACTGAGACAGGTCCTGGGCCCTGAGCTGAAACCAGCTGAAGTGTGCCGGGTCTCAGTCGTCTTCCCAGGCTCAGGGCTGGTGAGGAAACCACAGTGCTCGGCAGTTCTGGGTCACCTGCCTATCAGCCTGGTGCCCGGGCCTCATCTCAGACCTGCTGGACACTGTTCTGCCCTCTCTACCCTCGACACATGTATTTCCTGTCAGGCTTATGACTTTGTGGATATCATGGGCATGTGGACATGTCCTGATGTGCCTCATGAGGACAGGCTGTATCACAGGGAGGCAGCATGGTGTTGGGGAGGAGCGAGCCACTTTGGAGTGAGGCCAATTTGGTTCAAGGCCCTGCTTTGCCTCCTACTAACTCTGGAACCTCAGGCAAGGCATTCTCTCTCCACACCCCAGCTTAGTTATCTGTAAGGCAGAGCTCATAATATCCTCTTTGTAGGCAGGCTAGAGCTGGCAATAAAAGACCATCCACAGCGAAGATTCACATTTTTGAGGCCCTGTACCTTCAACTGCCCATTAGTCCCTGGATGGTCCCATCACTGAGCCCACTGGTGTATCATCTGTCCATGTTGAGGCTCCTGTCACTGTCCTTCACTTATCTATCGAGGCACATTAAGAAGGCTGTATCCAAGGGCAAGACTGAAGTAGAGGGGGAGGCAGGGTGATCTCCCTGAATCCAAATGGGACCATTTTTATTTAACTTTTTTTTTTTGGCTCATACGCTGAAATGAATGCACCCAACCTTGCCCTCATTACCACTAGTAGGCCTTTGGTGGTCTTGAAATAGCAATTTTACCTCTAAAGTATGAGCAACGCATATTCTTGATAGTGCTGTCTGTTCTGATTCAATATGTGGGGGTCCTGGATCTCATGAACTTAGAGGGTGCTAGTGTCAGATGGGACCACACCAATGTGTCCCACTGCTTCCCATGTAGCTGCCACAGGGCAGCCCTGACCAAAACCCTGTTCAACTACCCCTTGGGCCCGTGTCCTTTCAGACTATGCTGAGCCAGGACCAGCTGCTGAACGACTCTCGCCTGGCGGCTCCCAACCCTGAGGACTGGAGATGACTTTCTTCATGGCCAAGAGGCCAGAGAGGCACGTGTGGGGGCCCCAAGTCTCTGCTTCAAGGGGGGCTGGCACAGCCACCCGCAGAGTCCAGACAGGCTGGCAGGACATCTTGGAACGTGGGTGCTGACAGGAGCGAGCAGAGTGGTGAACAGATGTCAGGGGGTGGGCCCAGGGGGCCCCGTGTTTTCAACTGTACTGTGCTCTTCACCACAGCTTTTTTGTACTTTTATACGTGGACTGCACCCCACTTCTGTGGGGAGGGCAGTGAGACATCAGCACAGACTCGATTCAATGGCTCATGCTCTTCCCTGAGACAGTTGGGAGGTTCTTACACCAAAGGGAAAGGGCAATGAGTTCATAAAAGCTCTGCTGTTAAGAAAATCCTGAAAACAATGTTCTGGCTGTACTGGAGTGGCTGGAATGAAAGGGGGCCACTCCTGGGCTGCTTCCACACACAGGGAGTACTTCATCCACAGGAACCTGGCCAGGGCGTTGGTGTTCAGGGTGACTGCAGGGAGGGAGCGATGGGCCTCTCTTCCCACTGCCCCAACTGCCCTCATCCTACCCTCCTCTGCAACAGAGGTTGTCAGTGCTGGGCCTCCTCCAGAGCAGAGGCCGCTCTAACACGTGCAGGCACTCAAGCTCACCCTAGCTGACAGGCAGCACAGGCTCCAGTGTGCGGTTGTCTGATCAAATGGCTCCCCCCAGTGGACAGTGCTTGCTTACCCCAAACCAACGGTTCCACCGCCACTCGCCATCTTCCCAGAGCATCCTGTTCCCCTGGGGTGTCTCCTACCTCACCCCACGTGCCCCAGCCATACTGTCCCGCCCAAACGGTCTCCCCACTTGGCAGAGCCCCGTCCTCTTCCTCCCTGTGGTGGCTTGGGCCTCCTCTCTCCTCTGATTTCCAAAGCTGGTCTCCTCCTTGGTCCATCACCTTCCCAATTGGTCCCTCCAAAGGTTCTCTACCTTACCCCCAGAGTGGCCTTCCCAAAGCACTGTTTTGATCCTGTTACCTTTATGCTAAGAACACCTCAGTTCCAGAAGCCAGAGTAGAGTTCCAAAGCCTTTGCTAGCACCCAAGGCCGTTCAGAAGCCACTCTGTAGCCTGTGTCTCTGCGTTTCCCCCACCGTGGGACCTACTTTTCCCCCGTGGTCCCCTTCACAAGACCCAGCATGACACCACTTCTTTCAGGAAGCCTTCACTGATGTGTTGGTTAGAGGTCCCTGTGTCCCACTGTGTAGTCTGCCCTTGAGCCCGAGCCCTTCCTGGCTCACCCTGAAGTACTGTGTCTTCCTTTCCATAGCCTCTCAGCACAAACTCACCAAGCAACCTGCTATGCGTGGGCTCCTGTACAGACCGGAATAAGAGCCAATGCTGGTCCTTAGACTGCTTAGGGGCTCCATGCTGCCAAGTTCCCCATCCACCCACCCCTTCATATGTGCGGGTTAAGCATGTTCCATGCCAGGCTAAGAAGGGCTACAGATACAGACAGGCATGAATGTCAAGGTGCTTGTCTGAGGGTGCTGATGGTCTAGTGGGGGGTGCACATCTGTTTCAAACAGGTGTGTGCTGAAAGTTACAGAGGCTCCAGTAGAAGTCTCTACAGCCTGAAAGAACAAGGTGTCCTTTTTAATGGAGAGCTGGGGGAGGGGACTGAAAACGACTTGGATTTCAGAGATGAATCAGGTTCCCCAAGGGTGCCAGAGGGGAAAGGCATTCCAGGCAGATGGACGTGGAACATGCCAGCACATCCCAGGAAGTGCCCAAAGTTGCTAAAACCAGAGAACAGTTTCTCAACCTCTGCGCTGCTGTCACTTAGGGCTGAATAATTTGTCGTGATGGGGGCTGGTTTGTGTGTTGTAGGAGGTTTCGCGGCATCCTCTACCCCTGTCTGGCAACAGCATGCCGCCTCTGGTTGTGACAACCGAAAATGTCTCCAGACTTTGCCAAATGTTCTGTGGGGGGGCAAAACTGCCCCCTAGCTGAGAGCCACTGGGCCACAGAATGGGGTAAAAGTGGGAGGCCCAGGGAAGGAAAAATCTGGTGAAGTCAGCTGGAGTCAGATCAGGAAAGGCCCTGTGAGCCAGGTCCCTGTGATTTATCCTGGAGACACAGGTGGCCAGATGGGGACTAGTGAAAGCAGGGACAAGCATGGGAAGATGTGTGTTAGAGAAAAATATCTGCGAGTAGGCTCTTCCTCACCCTATAGCGCCTGGCAGAGTATCTTTCCCCAAGTAGGGGATTCGCTGAGGGGGCGCTGAACATACAAATGAGTGAAGGCTCACCGCCCCCAGCCCCGCCACCGTGGCGCCCCTACTGGCCCTCAGGGGATCATCCCTGTAGGCAGGGCATAGCTGCACTTAAGTGAAATCTCTAGAGCCGTTTTCCTTTGTCCTGTACCCACCCCCACCCTCCCCCCCGCCCCATCCCCCCCCCCACACACACACACATGGTGACACCAGGTTGCAGTAACACTACCATCCAGTTTCTGTAGAAAGGCAATGTCTTGGATTAAACACAGCCGGGTCTGAAGCCCACCCCTGCCACCTCCTGTTGGAATGACCTGGGGGCAATAACTTCATCTTGGAGCCTCAGTTTTCTCCTCTGTAACTTGGAGAATAACTCCCCCCGTAGAATCTCTGGATTGTTATGAGAATGATGAGAAGTAAAGTGCAGAAAGGTTCTACCCACTCAGAGTAACAGAGGAGCATATCAGCCTGGCCAGGAACAGCAGAGGCCATCGTGGTCACTTGTATGATTTGGGTTTAGCAACGTGAAGGATTTAAGGAATAGCTCCTGGAGCCTACTCTTGTTTGCAAATTCAGAAGCTGCTATATTAACCACCCTGGGCACCATACTGGGATGCTAGGAAAACCACAGCCCTGGCCTGTGGTTTGTTGCATAAAGCCCAGGAGTCCAGCATTCCTGGAGCCTGCCTACCCTGTGGATTTACTACTACCCTAATACATTTGAACATCATTCCCACTTCAAGGGTCTGCCACAAAGGAAGGAAGGATGCACGTGGAGGGTGCCTAGGCCTTCCAGTAGGTCTGGCCTTAAACACAGAACACTCTGAAGAGGGGTGTTCAGGAGACAGATTGGAAGCTGACGTGACCCCACTTGGATTCTTCTGGAATTCTGCCCCTGCACTTTCGCCAGTCCTGACCTCCTTGGGACAGAGAACAGTTCACATGTAGGGCTGGCCAAGGCCTTCTAACCTTCTAAAACTGCCTAGCAGGTGTCCCACAAGCCCCATCTCATGAGCTGTCTGCTTTGGACTGAAACTTATCTCACTAAACTATGGGAAAAGCTACGAATTGAGCCTCCCAAGCAAGGCGGTCTCAGAAACCAGCTTATCTCCAACCCTGTGAATGCTGCTTTGTAGGCCCACACCCAGAAAAAGAGCGATGTGCCCAAGGATGCATTACAGGCATTTGTGAACACATGCCACTTTAATGTGCTGAGGCAGAGCTCACTCTGAAACAGAGGAAAGGGACCAGGCAGATTTGCTAAGAGCAAGGGAGGTATTAGTAAGTAAAAATCATGTCCTTGGTATAACCCAGTTTCTCCAGATTAGGGTGAGCGGCTGTCTGGATCAGGGGCAGGGGTCCACACACCAGGATGAACGTGGACTGCCCGGGAGGAGGGAGGTGCTCCTTGATCATGTTGGCGGTGATGTAGCCTGAGCTGTACTTCCAGCCTGAGATGAAGCAGAAGTAGAAAAAATCTGTGGGGGTGCCAGGTGGAGTCCCTGACCCCAAGCCTCCTGCCTGGCCTCCCTAGAGAAGGAACCCAGGCTGCTCTCCAAGACTTAGAAGCCTGCGTTGCTGTTCTCTGCAGAGAAGCTGCAAAGTCAAGGACCTGGTAGGCTCAGGCAGCCTTCAGAAGTGTCCACCCCCAGATCACAGGCTCACTGCTGGGACTCTGAGGCCCCCAGCAGGTGTCTGATGCTGCCGGCACTGTCAGGGATGGAGAACACAATAGTGGGGTGTGGTCTGAGTCACGGCAGAGATCTGGGGCCGCGATCTGGGGCCGTACAGACTGAGGTTTGCGGCTCAGTTGGGGGCGCCCTCTGCTGGGCAGTGAGCTATATGACAAGGCAGGTGCAGTTCAGCGCAGCAGGAGAGTGACAGCCACGGATGGTGGGCTGTGCGCGGTGGTAGCCACGTGCTGGCTAGGGTCGCAGCAGCTGGCTGGGGCTTAGCACGTGATGACTGCTATCCAGGAGAGGCCGGGTGGTAAGGGAGAAGGGGTCACTGGCTCTATTAGATGCCACGTGTGTGCTATCTCTGTGGGATGCTGTATCAAGTGTAGCATGGAGTGGGTGTTCAGACTGACCCAGTGACTCAGTGTCCCTCTGAGTCCCTCCTGAGGTTCAGTGCGTATATGGACTGCTGCTGAGATATCACACACATGCCCTTGAGTGCTCTCACAAACAGGTCATCCCAAATCCTCTCTCCCTCAAATCCCTCCATTTCCCATGCAGAGACAGAGCTGAAGGTCTCAGCCCTCGAGCACAGATCCAAAAACCAAACCCAGGGACCAGTTCCTGAGGTGGGTCAAGGGTTGGAGCTAACCCACAGTGGGGACAATGGGGATCGTACCAACAGGAGGCCTGTCCAGGGTGTACCACAGGCTGAACTGTTCCGGGCGAGTTCTGGCAACTTCTTCAAGCTCTTTTCTCACCAAGATATCCTCCTCTGTCTAGAAAATAAGGAACGTGAGCAAAGCCCCTCCAGGGACATCCTGCTTGTCCCCCACACTGGGCACACGGGTCAGCACACGTCTGCCCAAGCTGCCACTGCTCTAGTTGGATGCTGTCACCACGGCTCCTGGGGCAAATGAAGGTTCTGCGGCACTTCCTGCACTACCAACCCTCTCTCGTGGGTGGAGGAGGTGGGCTGTGCGGCAGAGGCGGTGACTGTCCTCAGCTGGAAGGACACGGCTGAGCACAGGTGCACAGGCTGGGTGGCCTCGTTCTGACGGCCCAGCCCCCCACCCCCATCCACACTGAGCACCAGGCTATCCTGCCGGGCTGGACCGAGCTTAGTGTGGGCCCAGGACCTCTCGCAGGGAGTGCAAGGGGCGAAGGCCGTAATACGGAAAGAAGATCGCACCTAACACCACAGCACTGGAGAGCTACGGGACAGGAAAGCAAAGGCTGGAGCTTCATCTGGGGAAAGGGAGCCAAAGCCACGAGAAACCTATGCCAGGCCCAGAGGTACCACACAGAGGACCTGGATCTCAAGACTCTTCACAGTTCCTGCACCAGCAATCCTACTCCTGGGATTCTGTTTAAGAAAATAATCTAAAAGGCATCAAGCCTAGGCTATATTGTTCATCACTATATACGTTACAACTGGGAAAACTGAAAACAATCTGAAGGCAGAAGATGTAGTAAATTATGGTGCAACTTGGTACAGACTGATGAAAATATGTACAAAGAGTTTTGACGAGAAGAAAGTGCCTGTGTGGTAATGCTGGGTGAAAAAACAAAACTGTGTTATAGATGTAATTGCAAATATATGGCATGTATAGAAAAAAAAAGTCATATTTATTTTTGTATTTTCTGAAATTTCTACTGAGGGCATCTATGACTTTATACTCAGAAAACCAGAATTACATATTAAAGGAAGGAAAGCTTAGTACGTAAAGTGGCTGGGGGAAGAGTTAAAAACAAAAACAAAAAAACAACCGAAAAACCAGGCCCCCTCCCCCAAGGCCGCAGGCACCCCAGCAGCGAGAGAGCTCAGTCGGGGGGAGGTATGAAGGCAGAGGCCCCTCTCAGCAAACATTCCATCCCACCCCTGCAAGCTCAGGGCTGATTCGGCAGAGCTGACCTGGTTGGCAAAGATGAGGGACATCCTGGTCCTGTCGTCGGGGTTCTTGGTGATGTGACGAATGAGCTGCAGCATGGGCGTAATCCCTGGAATAGTAGCAGGTGGGACACAGCTAGCCGCTCTCTCTCCCTCTCTGCTGCCCACAGTCCCTGGTCTGCAGCCCCTTAACAGTCTTCCTTAGCCACAATCCTACTTTTCTCATGTCTGCCCCCAAAACTCAAAGTGGAAGACCACCCCTCCTTTTGGTTTCCCCTTCCAATGCAACAGTAAATCGAAAGGCCCTTTCTTGTTTTCCTGTGGCAAGATGGAAGGAGACTGGCTCGGAACTGAAAGTGGGCTGCACACCCAGCTCCCTCACTTGCTGTCTGACCGTGGTCAGTCACGTGCCTGGCTGCGTGTCCCCATTTGTAAAAAGAGAACGACAAGTAAATGTGTTCATTTTACGAGTGCCCGTTGTGGTGCCTGGCACATTGTAGGTGTTCCCACGTTCCATTCTTTCAGGCATTCATTTTCAAGGGATGGGGAGCATCAGGCTTGACCTGGATCCAGGAGCCCTTGGGGGACCATGTGTGGGCCTACTCAGCTCGGTCCCCAGACCTTTCTATGGTCCCCAGCATGACTTCCTGGGGCAGCCACCATGTTGAGTAAGGGGAGCAGGGCACACGAGGTTGGTTTCCAGGCCTATCATCAACCTTGCACTTCCATCTAAAACAGCTAGGAAAGGGTCTCCCACACCACCCCTTCTAGCATCAAATGAGTCCAAAGTTAAAAAGGTCTGGGGACCCACCCTGTGGCTGAAGCCCCAGAAGCCTCTTACCTGTGCCCCCAGCAATCATTCCCAGGTGACTGACCACCTTTTCTTCAGGGTCACTTGTTTTGTATGGTTTGATTGAAAACTTCCCTGGAAACACAGAGGATACTTCTGACTTCTGCAGCTCTTGCCTGAGAGCTTACAAAAGATCCCAGACGCTCCTTGGGACCCCCAGGAGGAAAGTCCACCTGAGGAAGTGGCCACACCATTCTAAACCAGAAAAGCAAGTCGGTGTGCCCCGTTCCACCAGTCCCCGTGCCCTGGTGCACAAAGTGGAAACAGAGGCTGGGCTTCTTTGAGGACTCACTAGACCTTTTCTTCTGAGGAAGGAGAGGGGCACAGTGAAATTAAATGGAGCCTCGCAGAGCACTGAGCCACAGCAGTGAAAGAGTGAGTCGGTGGTGAACATGTGAGTAAGTGAGCGAGTGTGGATGGCATCCATCTATCCATTCTTCAGCATTAGCGGGTACCTCTTATGTATCAGGCGTTGTGCCGGACAGTCAGTGATGAGGAAAAACCCCAGCACTCCCCTACCATAACAAAGCTTACAATCTCATAAAGTGTGTGTGTTGAATGAATGTATGAAGACTTTAAGGACAAGTGCACATGACCCAGACATGAGACGTTTTCTAGAACAACCACAGGAATCTTCTTCCCAGCAGGAAGTCCAGCATAAACCCCCTAGTACCTGGCTCATGATAGAACAGGCGACCGGTGGGCCCTCGAAAAAGGACGGTGTCCCCAATTTTCATGTTCTCCAAGTACTGAGTCATCTTCCCCCCTTCTGGATAATTGGGGTGTACATTTTTGAAGTAGACCTGAAAAAATAAAGCAGCCTGTTTTTCACACACGCAGACTTGAGGTCACAGCTGCATACAACTAAAAATTCCATTTGCCACTGGAAACCTTGCAGAGAAAATCCTCTGTGCTCACAGTTGCTCTAAGCACCCCCTGAAGACTTGGCCAAATCAACAGCTTCACTGTTAAATGACAGTGCCGGAAAGCCCTTCCCAGGACACGAGTCCCCTCTTCACCCTACCACCTTTAATAGGCTTGTGAGGGTGAGGCAGGTGGACCCAGTAGGCACCATTTACCTTTATAATCAAGTCCACAAAGCCTTGGTCATCATCACTGGACACAGGCGTGTAAGCCCTGACCACCAGAGCACCATCAATTCTGGCCAAGAGATGGATGTAGTTACCTGCAGAAAAAGCATGCAGTGTTAAATGTGAGCACAGCCAACCTAAACAGGATCCAGGATTCCCATAAAGGACTTGGCTTCAGGGAAGTGGGTGCATGTGGCAGGGTGCATGGGAGCACGGCCAAGCAGAGGAGGAGTCCAGATCCAGGAGGCCTGGGTCCTAGACCTGCCCTTGTCACTCTGCATGCTACCCTGGGCAAGTCACTTCACCTCTCTGGGTGAGTGGGGACGATATGCCTGCCCTGCCCCCATCCCAGGGGAGCTGTGAGCTTCGTGTGAATGCACACTCATCAAAATATTCTGTGGAACAGGAAGACCTCATTAAAGTTGGAGGCTGAGTATTAAAAGTAATAGGAGTGTTTCCCTTTTAAATATTTTTTGATGTTTATTTTTGAGGGGGGGGGGTGGGGAAGGTCCAGAGAGAGAGGGAGACACAGAATCCGAAGCAGGCTCTAGGCTCTGAGCTGTTGGCACAGAATCAGATGCAGGGCTCAAACTCACAAACGAAGAGATCATGACCTGAGCTGAAGTCGGATGCTTAACCAACTGAGCCACCCAGGCATCCCAGGAGTGTTTCCCTTTTAAAGCAAAATATGTTGCCTTCACAAAGTCATTTCTTCTTAGACTGAGTGGATCAGTGGGGTCTGTGAATGAATCATGACCCCCTCATCTGTCTCTTGCTGCTTGAGCCGCCCTAGACTCACAGGCATGCTGGGCCCCGGGATTTGGATACTGCAGACCAGGAGTTCTAGAAAGAGTGTTGTGTCTTTCTGGCCAATGGCTCTGCTCGAGGGGCAGCAGTAAAGTTTTGAGCCATGGAATTCTGCCCCTCCTGGGTAGAACCGAATGGACCAGGTATGGCTAGAGACCTACATATGGTGACAACCCAGTGTCACATAGTGGGTATGGCGACTCAGATGGTTGCTGGATCTAAAGTGGGAGCTTCAGTGACTAAGACAAGCAGTGGTGAGGGCAGGAGCTGCCATCAAGAGATGCTAAGAGACAGAGGCAAAATGAAGCTTTGTGCCATCCAAGGGAGTAGAAACTATGCACAGGAAAGATGGAGCAGAGGTGCAGACAGAAGCGGAGACCTGGGGAGACACAGAAAGGAGGAAGAGAAGGAGGAGAGGAGGAAGCCTTGAAAGTCCTCAGGGTCTGTGAGGAGGTCCTGAAGCCTGAGGTGCAAACACTCGGGGTTAAAAAAGGACAGGCGCTATACTGGAATTCAAATGAAGAGAAGAGAAAGGAAGGGAAGAAAGAAAAGACAGGCTCAATGACTCTGGCTGTGGCCTGGCTGGGCATCCGGGATGTGCAGAAATATATGCCTGAGGCAGTTTCCTTCTGAGAACAAATCTGAACCTGGAGACCTCAGATAGGCTCTTTCAGATGCAGCCAACCTGGGCCTGGCCTGGCAGTGTCCGTCCCCGGGGAAAACGGGGCTGCCTAGCAGGCCCCATTTCTAAGCTGCTGCATTTCCTCTGACCTGGAAAGCATCAGTGATCGCCGAGTCCTCATAGCAGACTCTCCCAGAAGCCTCTAAACTACCTGTCACACTAACTTTGCACCGCCTACACCAGGGCAGAGGAGAGGGTGGGTCATGGCAGATTCTAAGAAATTTCTATTCCTCGAAGTTTTTCATTCTTTTAGCCTTCTTGCCAACAGGACTCACCCCACAGACTAGGCAGAGGGCTGGAAGGCAGGCGGACACTGAGCTCTTGTGGATGGGGACAGAGAGAGGAAGCAGTGAGGAGGCTCAGGAGCCAGGCTGGCTGCCTGGTCACCTGAGGAGAGGTCAAGGTTTTGTAGGACAAGTAGGTCATGGATTAGGATCTCCACCAGGTTGGCAAGCAGCACTAGCAATTTGTACAAAGCTCTGAATCCCCAGGCTGTGGACCTAGCAGAGGATTTCTACCTCATCAACATGAAACTGGGTGTCTGGCGGTGGTACAGACCAGAAAGGGGGTAACTCGGAACTCTAAGACCTCTAGGGCTGGTATTCACAATGGGTCCCTCCTTGTGTGGATCTGAGGTCCCTGCTGAAAAGCCACACTATGTGGGGAAGACACACTTGACTCCCTCCTGCCTCTCCACAATTCTGGGCCTTTCTCCTGACTTCAGGGGAACATCAGTTCCTTCTACCCCTCACATGTACACAGCACTTGGCACTTTCTGAATTTTCTCATCCATCAGTCACTTTACCTTCACAACAACCCAAGCGGCGGACAGGCCTGGGAAACCCCATTTCATAGACTGAGGCACAGAGAGGTTGAAGGACTTGACTCAGGTTGCCCAGCAAGGAGCCTGTGATGAGATCCCAGACCTTCTGATTCTAGATGCACTTCCTTTCAATGCTGAGATATCACTTCTGTGTCAGCCCAAATCAAACAGTGAGAAAAGAAATGGACTGTCCCCAAGCCCATCTCCCTATCTCTCTTGAGCTCACGTGTCAGGAAAGATAACAAGGAGACTGCTACACCCCAGCTGAGTTTTTGAGAGGAGCAGAGTGCCTGCAAGGCCCAGTCCTGGCGATGATACTAAACCCCACTCACCTACAGGAAGCCCCAAGACATGGTCCGGTGAGGGCAGTCCAAAGCGGAACCTCCGGGTGTTGTGGCTGATTTGCTATAAAATAGAAAACAGAGGCAGACTGTCAGCTTTCTAGAAGCCTTTCTGGGCAACTAAGATGCCTGGGAAAGGAGCTCTGTTTGGGACTACCCCGGAACACACAGATGTACACACACACACACACACACACACACATACACGCAGTGGGGAGCAAACTGGAGGCCCTGAAACTCTTGTCCCATTGCCCTGCCTTCCCAGCCAGCGCATCCCCCACCACTCTCGTGCTCTTCTCTTTCACAGGCTGACAATGGAAAGGGTGGGCTGACTCCATTACCTCTTTCTCAATCAAAGGCAGTGGGTACTTGGTTTCAGAGTCCTGTAGGGTGATACATCTCTTCCTTGAGTTCATGTTCCTCAGGGCCAACAGGAGCACTGTGACTCCAAGGACAGTGATGACAAGGAGCAGGGTTGGGTCCTAGCAGACAGTGTGAACAGGGCACCTCAGGTCCCGCCGGCCCCGGGGGAAGGACTGTGCTCAGGCACAGCAGTACCCTCCCACACCAAAGGCACAGAAGAAACCAGACAGAGGGAAAGGTAATAAAACAATGCAGGCTGAGCCTACAGTGGACCTGGAGGGTAGGGAGGGGTCAGCTGCACATCAGACCACGCCAAGCAGATGGCCAGGGAGTGCTAATGTCACCAGGCCAGCCCTTCCTGCCCATCTGCCTCCATCCTGGTTACATTCGAGGGTGCAAGTCCTGGGAGTCCCCTCCTTGAGGTGATGACACTGCTTCTAACCCACAATCTGGAACATGGTCCCAGTCCCCAACGGCAGAACTAGACGGGGATAAGCGCTGACTCCTCCAGGAGGTGGCTGCTGCTAGGCAGGGATGGGGCTCACTTCCCCGCTACTCCCCTATCCAGGCGGGCTGGGGTGGGTGAGTACTGATCTGGGGGGCGCTTACCTTAGCGCCTCGGGACACGCCAGCACCCTCCAAGGCAGGTGAAGGAGGCCTGACTCACCGGTAGATCGCCAGGCTCCCCTGCCCTGCCCTGCCTCAAGCCTCTCTGCCGCCCGCACTGCCAGCCTGGCCATCGCCCAGCCAGCCGTCGCGGGACCGGGAAGGGCTGCAGGTGGGCTCCCCTCTTCGCCTGATCGCCCGCTCCCCCCGCCGCCATCGCCTGCCCCTGGCGGCCAGTCTGCCCTTGCCCCTGCTCTCCTCCGCGCGGCGCCGGACCGGCCGACGCCCCGGTCGCTGCATGACTGCCCAGTCCTCTGTTGGACTCCCCCCCACGGCCTTGCCCCGCCGCTGCGCCCCTGGCACCCACCCGAACGACGCCAGGTCGCTCAGTGGCTGGCTGCGGCGCAGCGAGTCGGGTGCTCCTGCAGCCCGCCTGGCGGACGCGGAGGTCTGAGTTGCGGCTGGCCGGCGACGCGCGCCCCACACCCCGCTTACCTCCCCACACCACTGCGGCAGCCCCACTGTGAGCACTCGCGCGCTGTTCCTCTCTTGGGATCCCTATGTTGCATTCTATTCCTTTCACTGTCTCATTCAGGCAGGATTCTGCTGAGCGCCCTCTCCCTTGCGGGGAAAATTTCCCCACTGCACTCTCCCCACTTTCAGACCCACTCCTCTCTTGAGGCAGGCTGCCTCTCCTGTGGGACTCCTCTGCAGCTGTTTCTGAAACCTCTCCTTATGTAATTCCTTCCTTTATTCCCCCCATTGTCTTCTAGTTCCTTGCTGAACCTCTGGGAGCTTTCCTTCCTTGTACTCCTCCCAGACCTCCTCTCTTCCCTGCTTTTACTCCTCCCATTTGCTCCAGGCAGGCTCCCAGGATCTCCCCCTCCCTCAGGCACTCCCCCTCCCACTGCTCACTCCAGACTCCTCCCACTCCCCTTTTATGCCCCTAGGAGTTCCCCACTGCGTGACTCTCTCTTTGCCCCACCCTGCCCCTAGGGGCCGCACGCGACTAGGGGCTGCCACTGCTGCGGGGTCCCCGTTCCCAGGGGCCATCCCTTGTTTATTCGTGGCCCCCTCTCCATCCTGCCCTTCTTCCTGCTCCCTCTGAGCAGCGCGGACGGAGAACCTCCTCTCTGCACCTTGTGGAAACTTTGCCAAGGCTGGAGGAAAGGAGGGGCGTCTGAGTGGTAAGAAGGGGATGCTGATAAAGGAAAGGGGAATTCAGGCCAATTCAAAGAGCACAGGAATATATCTGTTTGACGCACGTAAAGAGCTCCTACTCTGAGCCTGGTCTAGTGCTGGGTGTTTCCCCGAGGCGGAGATGTAATGGAGTTAAGACATTCGTTGCAACGTTCATTCATTCATTCATTCATTCTCCATTGGGAAAGAGACAGATAACAGGTACCCAACACCAGACCAATAGGAGGCAGAATGGCAGGCATAGATTAGGGGGGGTTCTCCACGGCACATTTCAGAACATTGGTAACCCTTCTCCCCCAATCAGTTCTCCCATTGCCCGTAGCAAAGGCAAATCCCTGCCTCCTGGACCTGAAGGGAGACAGAAAAACTGAGAAAGTAGATTCCCACCCCAACCCAACCCCAGCCCCCAAACATGCACCGGCACAGGCACGTACATGGTGGACGCTTCTAACATCTGCAGGTACTGAGATATTATCGCAGGATATCTTATTATTGACAACGTACTAAATGAAAATGATAACTTGTGAACCAAATATCATAGCTGAGGAGGTTGAACATTCTTCATATTTTTCCCCCATGGCAGTTCTTTTTCTGGAAAATAAAAATGCCTACTCATGACCTTGGCCCATTTTTCTCTTGAGTTGTTCTTTTCTTACTAATTTTTAGGAGTCTTTTATATATATTTTAGAGACCACGTCTTTGCCAGTTATATCAGTTACAAATATTTTCTCCTGTGGTACAACTTTCTTCTCTTTTGTTTCCTTTCTTTTGTCTTCTTTTCTTTATTTCTTTTCTTTTTCTCCTGCCTCCCTCCTCTCTTTCTTCTCTCTCCGTCTTTTGATGAATAGAAATTTGTAATTGCAGTGTAGTCCAATGTATCAATCTTTTGCCTTTATGGCTAGTGCTTTGTATGACCTGTCTATTCCTACCCAAGATCCTAAAGATAGTCTCTATTTTCTCTGACACACTTAAAGTGTTTCCTTTCACATTTGAGTCTCTCAACCACCTGGAAATGATTTCTGTATATGATGTGAAGCAGGGATCCAATTTAATTTTTTCCATATGGGTTATGTGTTGTCTCAGTAATATTGTTGAATTGCTCATACCTGGTCACTAACCCGCAACGCCACCCCTGTCATATATCAGCTTTCCCTTTGATCTCATTGCCCAGCCCCTCTGCCAATACCATACCGCTCTAATTACAATAGTTTATTACAACTGTTTATATCTTTCACTTATACTTTCATTGGGTCTCGGTTCAAATATCAGTTCTTTAGAGATGCCTGATCCAACCCCCCAATTTAAGTAGATGTACACATTACATGCTATTTCTGGCTTTTACTTCAGCTCGTAATATACATCCTGACTATTTAGTTGTAAATGGCTGACTCTCTGGAAGTTCCATTATGGCAGAGACCTTGTTTCTCCAGGGCTGAGCACAGTGACTGTCACATGGATGAATATACATAGCAAATGAATGAATGAATTCCTCTCTGCCCTGTAACATTTAACACCCTGCCTGGCACATGGTAGTGAGCCCCATAATGCTTAAGAGAACAGTCCTTCCCGTCAGTGCCCCTTTTTCGCTTACTTTGTCTCCGTAAGACATGTCCTCAGATGACATTCTACATATCTTACCTACTTGCTTACTCTTTCTCTCCCTCTACTACCATGTAAGCTCCATGAGGACAGGACTTGTTCTGTTTTAATTCCTGCTGTTTCCCAGACCTCAGAACAGTGCCTGGCAACTGGCGGATGCTCAGTAAATATGTATTGGATGAATGAATGAATGAATGAATGAACTTAATTTTCTCCATCTGATTCAATCAACTATTTTTGGGGGGAGGGGGGGCTTTGGAATCATTTTTCCTGTGGCTCTCTTAGTAGTTGCCTCTACCCTCCGTTCTCCCTTCTCATTTTCCCTCCATGTTACCAGGGAGGCAGCCCCCTTTGTTAATCTTGGAGCAGAATAAAGGCAGGCGTTTGTCTGGGCTTCCAGTAACTCTTAGAAGGCAATGCCTCCCCTCTCTCCTCAGCACCCCTGCGCACTCTAGATGCACCCTTTGCATGTTCACGTTCTGCCGGGTTTGGCTCCTCTTTTACTGCTCTCCCGAAACACACCATGAGCACACGTCTCACTCTCTAAATCCAGTGTGGTCCTAAGGCCTGACAACGAGTATGGGTTCACAAAATGCTGAAAAAAAAGAAAGAGTGAACATCTGTCACTGTTTTAGCCTGTATGAGGCTCTGCCTCCACAAAACCTTCTCCAGTGGGGGGACCAGCCACCTCCACTGCCGAGATTCCCCTGGGGAGGACTGATGCTGTGGCCAAATCAAAGCTTGAGGAGCCTATGCTCTCTAAACAATTTCCAGGCTGTTGTGGGCTTTTTGATTGCTTTTTGACCTTGAAAATGATTTAGTTCCATTTTATTCCTGAACGGATGGCCGCTTCGGAGGTCCTAGCTGTTAAGCCTAAATTGTGGTAGGTTGAACAATGAACTTCTCCAAATAGACTCACATCCTAAATCGTAGAACCTGTGAGCACTGCCTTATGTGGCAAAAGCAGCTTTGTTACTATGATTAACTTCAAGATCTTGAGATGGGGACACAGTCCTGGATTGTCCAGTGGGCCTGACATGATCACAGTATTCCTTATGTGACAGAAGCAGGAAGAAATAGAGAAGGCAGTGTGATGCCAGAAGCAGCAGCTGGAGTGACCAGTTTTGAAGATGGAAGGAGGGTCCACAGACCAAGGAATGCAGGCATGCTCTGGAATCGGAAAAATGCAAGAGAAAGGATTTCCCCCCCGAGAGCCTTTGGAAGCGACCAGCCCTGCTGATACCTTGACTTTAACCCAGTGAAACTGATTTTATACTTCTGGCTTCTAGAACTGTAAGAGAATACATTTGTGCTGTTCAAAGATAGCAAAGTTGTGGCAATTCGTTGTAGCAACAATGGGAAACTAATATACTAAATGAACCATTGTTTTGTCTCATAGGGCTTGTTTGTTTATACTTGGCTTTATTCCAGAAATATATTTCCTGTGATTTGGATCAGAAAAGCCAGGAAGTGCTCCTCCCCTCTGGTGCTGATGCTCTTGTTGCTCTAACCCTGGGACTCTTTTCTCCCGTGAACCACCTCCCTCAGCAGCCTCCTGCTGCTACTCACGTCTTCAGCTTGTTTTCTCTGCCAGACCATATGAGCGGCCCACCCACTCCATCCCTTCCGCCTCACCCTGGCTCTGGCC